CATCATGGCTTTGCTGTTCTTGAGAAGAAGATTTTTAAAGATTTTTCCTATATATTTCTATGTAAAACTTTGATCCTCCATTGTGGCCCCGCCCTACCCCCGGGGGTCATGATTTGAACAAACTTGAATCTACACTACCTGAAGATGCTTCCATATAAATATGACTCATCATGGCTTTGCTGTTCTTGACAAGAAGATTTTTAAAGATTTTTCCTATATATTTCTATGTAAAACTTTGATTCTCCATTGTGGCCCTGCCCTACCCCCCGGGGTCATGATTTGAACAAACTTGAATCTACACTACCTGAGGATGCTTCCACATGAGTTTCATCTTTCCTGGCCCTACGGTTCTTGAGAAGAAGATTTTTAAATGATGCCATTATTTTTTCAGTAAACCCTAATTATCTCCCCTTGAAAGAGGGCGTGGCCCTTCATTTGAACAAACTTGAATCCCCTTTACCCAAGGATACTTTGTGGCAAGTTTGGTAGAAATTGGCCCAGTGGTTCTTCAGAAGAAGTCGAAAATGTGAAAAGTTTACAGACAGACAGATGGACAGACAGACGGACAGACAGACAGACAGACAGACGGACAGACAGACGGACGCCGGACAAAATGTGATCAGAAAAGCTCACTTGAGCTTTCAGCTCAGGTGAGCTAAAAACTTTATGCCAGTCTAATTGATCATAAAGGTTTAAATTACATACAGATTTATCATATCAGCACATTTTAACAACGATATAAAATTAACAAAAATGCAGCTCAAATTGCTTTAAAATAAGGAATCTAAGGTATCTATTTATCATAACTAGTTTCTATTTATTACTATAAGTATCTATTGATTATTTTAAGTATCTATTTATTATTGCCAGTGTCTGTCTATCATTACTAGTATCTATTTATTAATATAAGTGTCTATTTATTATTACTAGTGTCTTTTATTATTACTAGTATTTATTTATTATTATAAGTATCTATTTATTATGACTAGCATCTATTTATTATTACCAGTGTCTATTTATCAAAATTAGTTTCTATTTATTATTATAAGTATCTATTTATTATTATAAGTATCTATTTATTATGACTAGCATCTATTTATTATTACCAGTGTCTATTTATCAAAATTAGTATCTATTTATTATTATAAGTATCTATTTATTATTATAAGTATCTATTTATTATGACTAGCATCTATTTATTATTACCAGTGTCTATTTATCAAAATTAGTTTCTATTTATTATTATAAGTATCTATTTATTATTATAAGTATCTATTTATTATGACTAGCATCTATTTATTATTACCAGTGTCTATTTATCAAAATTAGTTTCTATTTATTATTATAAGTATCTATTTATTAATATAAGTATCTATTTATTATTATTAGTATCTATTTATTATTACCAGTGTTTGTTTATTATTACCAGTACTAATATTTTTATGAGAAATTGGATAGTTGTAAATAAAATAATTAAGGTACCTTTTTCTTTTTATATCCCCCCTTTTAGGAATACTGCGCGGCTTTTATTTTTTATGATGTGTCCCTTCAGTATGTTTGTAATGGCTAAAATTACGACATTGTTTTGAATGCTTCAAATGACTTAGTATTGTTACATTTACTTTTTTTGGCATTACTATATGATGGCCTGTAAATATCATTATATAATTAATGTCTATGATGAATTGACTTCTTATGTTTATATTAAAAGTACATAAATTAATGTAGAATCATACAAATTATTTGTTTTTGATTTAATTTAAATAACTATGGCGACAATTTGCTTTATCGATTTTTTTCTTGCAAAATGTGTTCTTCTAGACATTCATTTATCTGACGGTTCTGGATAAAAAATAATGTGCATGAATTCAAAAGTTTTAATCATTTGATTTTATTCAGTTAATTTACTAAAGTATTTATAACTAGCTATTGTCTAGGATTATTGATAAATTATCATTATTTCCTGATGGATGATATTAGAATTTATATTCTGAGCGCTGTATTGTATTATGCTTATTTTTCTTCTCCTTTTTTTTCCTTTTCCCTATTTCTTTTTTCTCTTTTTCCCTTTTTTTGTTAATTATTAGTAAAATACATATTTTTAAAAGTGATAATGTGATGACTGCGGCTTGTCTAGTAAAATGGGCAAGACATGACAATTTATGAAATTATCTAAAAAGAAAGAGAGAAAATTTGACATGCGTTTGTATACCATTTTTCTACCATAGATGTGTTTATATTAATGTTCTTTGTTTTGTTGTATTAAATGTGTAATAGTTCAAACCTTCGACTTTTTTCTTTGTGTGGGTAATATTAGAAAAATATCTTTTTTAGATATATATATCCAATGTCTAATTATACCTCTACTGATGATGCTCGACTTTGATTTACTTTTTAGGAAACAATAAAAATCCTTACAAACTCCAGAATAGAATCAAAACAAGGATTAATAGCTCGTTATTACGCAGATAAATATTTATCAAATTATTACTCAAATAATGACTACTTATCATCTGTAAGTAAAGAACTAAAATCAAAGATGTACCGATTTTAAGCTTTGTATTCCATACACGGTGAAATTTACATAGTTATGAAATGCTCGTTTTCTGTTTATAATCAATTAAGATACGATAGATAAGTTAGTAGGTAAGTAAATTATTTATTATAGTGAATTATAGTTATACAGTGTATTTTGCAACAATATACTTAGTTTTTTACACCCGGCCCAAAGGACCTATGTGTCACTGGTAATATTTTAACAATATACATATATACTGTGATAGGAATATAATAAAAGTTATTATTAATTATTTATTATCATATATTTATTATCATGTATTCTATTTTATTTTTATTATTATTATTATTATTTATTTATTATTTATTTATTATTATTGATTTATTTTGATTTATTTATTATTATTTATTCAGCACAAAATAAGAGAAAAACAGGCTTGTCGCTTTTTTTAAAGGGGAGAAAACCCATTCCAATACTAAGTAATAACGAATAATGATAACAATGTGTGTTACGTACAATAACATCGAGCTTTTTAAATTAAATTAGCTGTGCAAAAACTTGGATTTGCAGGAATCAGCGTAAATAGCTTTGCTTGCGGTTGTTAGCAAAACATGAAAAAAAACTTAGTTATATTTTATGTCAGAAATGAGAATTTTTAAACAATATTTGTTATAAAACTAATATATTTGATTTTACAATTAGTTTTAAAAAAAAACTTAGCTATATTTTATATGAGAATGTCTGAACAATGTTTGTTATAAAACTATAATTATATTTAATTTTTTCCAATGAGAATTTTGTTCAAATATATTGAAAAAAAATTAAGCAGATTATATACCTCGATGAAATCAGGAAACAGGAGTTAGCAAATACAATTTTAGAAATTTCGACTTGGGTTAATTTATTGTACATCGAAAATAAAATATGGATTTAAAAAGAACTGCCTTTAAAAGTAATCATATTAGTGCATTCCTGAACGATCGCAATACACGATATACCGTATGGCTGTAATTTACGGTAAATGGACATTAAAGGGATTAAAGGGTTTAATCGTTGTTTTTTTTTTTTTGTTTTTTTTTTTTGTTTTTTGTTTTTTTTTTTTGTTTTTTTTTTTTTTGTTTTTTTTTTGTATGCTCTTGGTTTGTGAGATTTATACGATTTGTTTCTGTGTTCTTCGTTTTTATGTTTATTTAAGGAATGTTTTTAAGTTTTGTGTTTTAAGTTTTTAAAAATATGCCTACGTGCAAGTCTGTGTGATTTACACACCAATAATTCACACTAAACTTAAAAACATTCCTTATATTTGCATGTTACATGTTTAAATGCACCAAAAATATACTCAATGTTTGAATTTCTCTCCGCCCTATATCGTCATATTTTTCTCTGTAGCCTCATTGTGACGTCACTTAAGCGCGAGTTTCTCAGTGTATATTTCTACGCGTGAGTATACACGAAAATGGTTTTCAAATCAATTTCACAGTTGACTTGGTAGAAAAACACTGCAAATGTAAATATTTGATTTTGTTTCTGTGTTCTTGATTTGTATAGTTTATACCATATACATGTATTAGACCGATCACATTCAACTTTGTTCGATTCATCTCCAATTATTTTAGCAAAACACTTCGCTCTTTCAATTGTTCGCCTTCAGACCAAATAAGTTCAGAGGTCATACATGTACTTTAGTGACTGTGAGGTTGAAAACATGGATTTCAATAACAATTTAGGGGAAAAAAAACTTTGACAGTTTTAGTATTTGTTCATGATAGATTATTTATTCTCTCTGTCTTATAACAGACCAAGAAGTATTTTTAAAAACATTCTTCGTGAAGGAAAGGAAAATCTCGAGTTTAACGGACACCTGATATTCTTCCACACTTTGACAGAATATCACTTTTATTCAATAAATAAATTATATTACTTCACTTTGAAAAAAAATGAATATTCATACGAACTCAATTCAGACATATAATCTTTTTTTTTTTTGCATAATCACTTGAGTGTTTGGATGCATATCCTTCTTTACAGACCTATACAGTAGTAGTAGTTTATTCCTAAAAAGTAGATACTTATTTTACATTACATGTATATATAGTTTTATATAAATATTATAAAGTCAAAGAAATAAACATTTATTGTGGAAAAATAAAAACAAATTACCCACACCTATTGACAAAACTCCGTAAGAAAGAGAGATAGTCCAGATAACAAATCTACCGTGCGGAAACCATAAATTATTTCATAAAAATGATTAACATATGTATTACATAAAATATAGATTACATTTATATCTTTGGATGGCAGCTGGTATGTATGTTATATTTCTTTGTTTTATATTAGAAAATATTCAGTATCTTTTTTACGTAATTCTTTTTTTTCGATCCAGAGATTCCATTTCTTAAAATTTTAAAAATACCTCTCTGAACGATAAACAATTTTTTTTTAATTTTTACAGAAAAAATTAAAAATACATCATAAATACTGTGTAAATAAAGAAGGCACTTAAATCTATATTCCAGGAATTTGAACAAAAAAAATAGTTTTTCTTCCTACCAGTTTAGATTTTTATACATATCATTATGTATCATTTAGAATCCAAGACTTTGTTCACAAAGGAAAATGAGGCTCATTTAGTCCCTCTACTTCAATAAGCCAAAATGAGCATCAACCGTCCTTCTTTCCTTTTGAACCATGCATTCTGCTGTGACATTAAGCTGTGTATATCCAAACGCTACTCGAACTTGGATTTCATTGTTGTCCGGCTTTCCTTGTTTTGAGTAATCTATCATGATATCCCCAATATGTTTACAAGGAAACTCCGGTGCATACATCACGGGTTCTTTCACATACCTTGGGTTGTTATCCTGAGTTCCGTAAAATTCTACCTGAGCATACCCTGGGTCAACCTTAGCAGGACGACAGTTATACTCCCGTACTGCATTAGGAACAACTTTTTCCCCAGCTAGAATTATAGGATGAAACACATCCTCCAGCTGATTGTTGTGTTTATGGATTTTATCTCGTTCCTTGTTGTGTTTCAGTGGATCAAACGGTACACTAATGCTAAAACCGTACGAGTATCTGCTGATTCTTTGAGAAATATGTTCCGGATGAAATCCGTACAAAACTGCGCCTTTCAATACAGACAAACTACTCTCTGGAGGATTTAAGATTCGGACCTTAGCAAAGGTCTTCTTTAGAGAATTGTACACTATTTTTGATTCAGAAAAACCGCCAACCATTATTATGGCGTCAACAGAGTTTTTCTCCATTAAATGATGGAGTTGACGAGTAATATCATTGATAGGTTCAATAAAAAGGTTCTCCAACATTGCCTTAGGAAACCCCGCTTTTCCACGACTTATTTTTATTCCAGGAAATTCTTCATTTTCCTCTATTTTATTATTCAAGTTTGGGATGTCACGAATACACTCTGGTATACTGATATACAATGTGTCCGCGGTGCTCTCTTCTCCTACTTGCCGTTTAAGTAACTCAAAACTCTGTTCAAATTCTAGAATTTCGTCTGGATAATTTTCTTTGCATTTTGTATAATCAGACTCTAAAAAGAAATAACAATTTCAAGAATGGAGAATTATCAATCATGTTGGTGATATGAATATTTTAGATCTACTCAAAGAAGCAAGAAATGCACAAAAGACACAGCATTATCAACAGGAAAAGACAAAATATTTCAAATACATATGTCTAGATATTACACTCCAGATACACAGGAATGGACAGAACACTTCTAGTATATACAAGATGAGATATTACATTTTTTAAAGAAATGACATGGAATTTCACTGAAATTGTAAAAAAAAAAAAAAAAAAAAGACTGGTCTTTTAGTTCAAATGCACAAGGTAATTTCACTTCCATCATACATAAATTTATTAATACTCCAAGAAATGATATTACACTTAAAATACACAAGAATGGATATAACACTCAAAATACACAAGAATATAGACATAACAATGAATCCACTCCTCTGCAATTATACAAGAATAGACATGAATCTAAAAGTACACAAGAATAGACATAATACTTCAAATAGACAAGAATAGATGTAACACACGAGACCTCAGCTTAGCAAAATTGACTATTTAAAGATGTATCTCTTCTAAGGCCCTACTTGACAGTTACAATAAACTGGAAAAAAATGATGGGCTTGTTGTTTGCAAGGATCTAAGCATTGGAAGTGATCTAACACCAAGTACTTAAGTAAAAAAGCCTAATTCGAAATACTGCGCAAGCAAGACATTAATAGTTTGCACGAGAACGTCTTGAGAAAACGCAAAAATGAGTAACATTTCAAATGATACTTAGGAGTAAGTTATCAACCAGTCATTTTTCTTCTTATAAATTTACAGTTTGAATTATTATATGCCCTAAAAGGAGTAGTTTTCGAGTTTTTACCATACATGCGTTACTATGTTGACCTTTGGCTTAATGAAAATTCATCCTTTTCTTTTGGGCTCTGAGACGATAGATAAATATATAGCCATCCTTTTTAATCTATTATACATTTTTTAAATATTTTTAAAGGAAATTACAGATGTATAACTTCGAATTAAAAATTTAAAAAAATGATCAGTTTAATTTTTTCATTTTACTTATATAAACATGACTTTAGTTGTTATTTTCATAATTGTTGAAAAAAGTTTGTTTGTATCATCTGTCCTTAATTCAGGACAACTTACTCAGAATATCTTTCCAAATCTGCAGGAAGGCTTCGTTAACTCTGCTCCCGCCCCATGCACCTCCGGTCGCCATGTTCTTTTCATGCAGGGAATGGTCACTCTGTACTTCATGCACAGTTATATCCCCTGTTCCTCCTTAAAATAAACATCCCTAGTTTAGATTATCTTCTAGAAATGGTTGGCTTGCTTTTGCAATTTTTTTTTCTTCATCATCCAAAAGTAAGTATTTATTTCCCTAGTATTTGGATCCAATGGAAGCAGTATCATATATAAACAGATAAAGACAGATTGTATAATCAAAAACATAGATTACGACCTATATGCATGTTGTTAGACTACTTAACAATTTGAATTAGACAAATATTGCCATGTCTTAGAGTTTTTAGGCACTCTACAAACCTCCCAAATCTACTATCATAAAGGTTGAATTGGGAATAAATGGAACAAGGTCAATCTTTCCGTCACTGGAATGACGAATCAGTGCCTGCTCCTTGGTATAGAGTGCGGCCGCTTCTGGTTCTAAGGCTAATGTTAAAGACTCGCCAGGGATCCCTGCCTACATGTAGATTTTTGTGCAATATAATAAATCGCAAAGGTTTCAATGTTTTTTTTTCTTATTTAGTGCTTTAAAAATGTTTACTTTTTAATTTAAAAAAAAATAAGGAGAATCATTTTCTATGGTGAGAAACAAGTTTAAATATATTTTCACTCAAGCTATCTGTATTCTTTTTTTATTTTAATATCATAAAGCAAGAAAAAGTTATCAGAAAGGTACCTCCAATGCCGCTGCTCTCATTAGTTGTTTAGCAGGTTCACTCCAGATTGCTGGGACTGTGAGGACCCAGAATATGTCCTCATCTTTAACTGTTGTCTGCTTCTCAATAGCACCCAATGCATGTCTTCTAAGGAACCCTATTGCCTCTTTAAAGACAGTCCTCAACATCAATTGTTTTCCATTTTCGTCGGAAATTTTCATATTCTTTCTTAAAACCTGAGTATAAATATGTAAAGATTTATGACATGATTAAAGTCTTCATTTACCTCTACATGTGTTAATCAACTACTAGTACTTCTAGTACTTGCATTATTTTATGTTTATCTGTACTATCTTTACTGTTTTACTTTACTCAATAACAATTTTCGATATATCTTTAAGATCTGCCATTTTAAATTCGGTGAATTAAATGCATTATATACTGTCGCACCTTTAAACAGGAAAACAGATTTTAGCTGTGGTTTTTGGAAGTAAAGGTACGAGATTTCAAATGAAACTATAAATTAAAATTTTAATGATTTTTCTTTTGATTTAAATCTTGTTTTTCCAATACACACATAGGTGTGATAATTTCTTAACATTAGCTACACAGTGTCCATACAGTGGAAAATGAGGTGATTGCTTAGTGGACGAGATATTTATCATGTAGATAGTCCACTAAACATACACCTTCCACTGAAAATGTTTACTATAAAACAGATAAAATACTGGTAGGTTGGAAGAAAGGCCCATGGTAATATATCATGCATCACATAGTAATAAATAATATTTTTTTAATCACCTCTTTGTTATATAATTTCATCTTGAAATTCCTGAAGAAATAGTAGTCTGTCGGTGATTTGTTCTCAGTAAAGCTTTGATTTGAAATTTTTCTCTCCATGTAATCCTTGAACATTCGTGTGTAGTTTTTTTCTGCCTCAAACCTGAAATGATATTATGTTCTCGTTTTCTTATAAAATTTATCTTCAGTTATTATGAATTTTGGGTCGAAAGGGGAGAGAAACATTTTATTTAGATCTATTCATGCAATCACATTTCAATATCTGTGACAATTTTAAACTTACCCAAAAGAATGGAATGTTTTATCAGGAGTAAGCAGTAGAGAGGAGGCAGTCTTTCCCATAGTTAAGTTTGATGTCCCCTGCCAGTGAGGGCTTATAATGTTCTTAGTGGGGTCCTTCCTGAAATCTGTTCTAAACTGATATGCATATCCCGAGAAAGCACTTCCTATGTCGATGGCGACAACTGCTAAATAGTCTTTTTCAGCCATTTTGAGACTTCAGAACCTAGAGATTTTTTTTATTGATATAAATGATAAATCACCAAAATAATTTAATATTTTCTACGTGCATAACTAACGTTCTAAAATCAGAAAAGCTTGAGCACCATTTTGACCTAGTCCATTTATATACATACATGTACGTGTATTTTACATTGAAATTTTATCTTTAAAAAGACAAACCTTTTTGTTTTGATGTATTAAAAATTATTAGTCATCTCTTCAAAAGCTGTTGAAAGGCAACTAGTATTTTATTTTAGTTATGTTTTTGTCTGTCCAAATCAGTTGAGAACAAACTGCAACAAAAAATGTTCCTAAAGAAATGTTCTTTAGCTGCATGGGTTTTAAATCTGCACATTTATATCAAGTTTATCTCTACGTAGCCTGTTCACTTTGATGGCAAATACGTTTAGATTCGTTAATAAAATAAACATTTCAAATTGCATATCAAAGCATCTTTTTTATCTCCTTGATAATTACTTTAATTTTTCAGAGTTTATTTTATTTTAATAAGTTAAAAAAGAGTTTCGAAGGTTACTTACCTTGATTTCACAAATCTTAATGCTGCATACTGACAATCGATTTTAAACCATGGAGAGTTTCTGTAAACAAATCAAACTGATCTGGTTTTTACGAATCAAATTACTTGAAAGTAAATAGGTATCATTGCTATAGACTTGTAACAATAAGAGAGATGAGAGACCTACTACATGAAAATCCACACTCTTATCTTCAAAGCGATCCTATTTGTAGACTTATATATTTGTTCTTCTAAAGAAAAAAATTATGGTAAGTAAAACTATCTGAAGTTAACACTCCACATATACTAAAACGAAACTAGAAGTTTATCCGGGTATATTTAGTGTCGTGTCTACCTTTAAATGGTTCACCTGATCTTACGGTACGGCCGAGGTACCTTCTGCATTCTCAAAAAGAAAAAAAATTAGTGCAGTGTCGTGGGTTATCTGTATTATACTTTCTAAGTTCATGTATGGGCGGCGGAAAGGGTAAAAAAGACGTTAATGCAAAACTAACAACTAATTTTAAAAACATACTGAAATACAAAACAGACCACCTTAAAATAAAATCAACAGACTCGTTTGTCAAATCAACAGACTCCGATGCAAAACCAACTATCACCGATGCAAAACCAACATTTATTCACTGAATTGACGCTAGATGGCGTGCAAAAAAACATGCATTACCTGAATTAACGCTAGAGGGCGCACAAGTTTTTCTACGTCATCATTAAATGTGTACTTTCATAGGAACGTAAAATCCCGCGAAATTGTCTATCAGCATCCATTTGGCAAACCCCGGATAACAGCATCATGTCGGACTCTCAAAATTCAAACATATCAGAGGCAGCAAGATTTCTACAAACGGCTGTAAATTTATTACAAGAAACCAGTAGCAGTGGTAGGGTAAGGTCTACACCGACAGGGAACCAGCAGACGAGCTCGAGCCTCCTTGAACATAGGCAGTTATTCAGCCGCAACATGCAACCACGGCCAAGACCATACCTTAACACGAGACTGGTTAGTTAGTGTTGTATTCAACATTTACCGTTATTACCAGTAAATGATAAATGATAAGGATTTTCAACGCACTGACTGCAATGCTGCTAATGGAGAAAATGTGGGATTCTTACGAGATGCAGAGTCAATCCGATAGCATGAACTAAGACAGAAATATATGAAGAGACAGTATGAACCAACATTTTAGGTTAAAATAAAATAAATACGTGTTTTCAAACCCGGAAAGACCAGTGGGGGTACAACGTAAACAAACCGGAGTGGCATACCTTTCTCTCTTATAATGTATAGTGGGGTATTTTTGTGTGGAACGATTATTTTGGGGATTTCACGATTTCTTCCTATGGTACACATGATGAATAAGTGTAATAAATATAATTTCTGAAAAAAAAATGTCCAACAACCTCGGGGTTGAATATCGGGGGGGGGGGGGGGGTCCTGTCCACAAGTACCTGTGCATAAACTGTGCATTTGATGCATAACATACTCTAATTGAACACTAGGGTCACTAGAGTGTATAAGTGGGTGTAGTCTGGCTAAGATATGGGTCAAGCGAGCGATAAAATTCTTTTTTACAACATCAACTTCCTCGTCTATTCTGTTGGTCGCCATATCATAAGAAAGTACCCTCATAATCATGACGTTCATAGCAATTTACATCTCGCGCGCCTCTTTGCACGCCATCTAGCGTCAATTCAGTGAATAAATGTTGGTTTTGCATCGCTGATTGTTGGTTTTGCATCGGAGTCTGTTGATTCTGCAAACGAGTCTGTTGATTTTGTTTGAAGGTGGTCTGTTTTGTATTTCAGTATGTTTTTAAAATTAGTTGTTAGTTTTGCATTAATGTCTTTTTTACCCTTTCCGCCGCCCATAGTATTCATGTCCTCTACAGAAAAAAAAAACAAGTTAAAATGATGCAAAGCATCAAATTCTTTTTTTTTTTCCCACGTAAACTCTATTCATATACACAAATATTTTTTTTTTTTTTTTTAAAAATGACATTAGTAATATTCTGTTAATGATTTTCTTTCCTGTAATAAATATAATAATTGAGAACTGAATGCTAGGACCAAGTGAATAGATTCATAGTATAGATTTGCTTCGGCATATTTTGAATTTTAAAAGTTTTTACAACTAACATAATGATCCCACCTCTGGAAGTTCCAGGAAACCTTGTTTTATGCCCTAATTCACAGATTTGCAATGTTTGTAGGATTTTTGAGATCGATCACTTTATTTTCAACTATTTTGTAAATATATCTTGATGCATAATCATCTCAGTTTTATATATTTTAAATATTCTCAACAATCAAATTGAATGTGAATTATCATACCTATTCTGTATTCCTTAACTAAATAAAAATCATTACAAACAAAAGGATACATGGTAAGTTTTAGTAAATATTCTACCAAGCCTATTTCTATTATTCCAAATATTAACCTGCAGCTTTAGGAGTACTGTACAACGGCATGGTGATGTTAATCAGATGTGGATACTTAACAACTCCAAGGATGTTTTAGACAATTGAATTCACAAAATTGTACCAATTTAAAAACACAGCTTCAAAATCTATGACTTTCTAACACTTTATACAACCAATCTTCACGATAAATTTTAATCCCAGTTTTTTTTTTTTTTTAACTCATAGACAACTGCTTTTTTCAATAAAAATGGAACTCGTAAATTTACTTACCTTGTCACTGGTCATCTGCAAATGTTTTTTTTTTCTTTAATGAAAAAAATAAAATTGTACACATAAGTACTCCGAAGTTGATATTAAAAATATGCTTCAGTTTCTGATTGAAAATATCTATGTAGTTTTTGGAGATCAAGTCTTCCAACAATCTGTTAGAATTTCCATGTGTGCTACTGTGGAATCATTTTAATACGTGGAGGTCAATGTTCATGAGCAAGCAAAATTTTACTTGTACATGGGAACGTAATTTCGCGGGTTACTCGTTTATATGATAGATTCAATGAATCAATACGTTTATATAATAAACGTTCTTGGGGATGTAAAATCGTGGGTAAGGGTAACCCATGAAATTCACGAACATTGGTCCCCCACGAACAATGATGATTCCACAGTAATTGCGCCCCGTTATTAGCAGGGGTATTTTTTTTATTCATATGAAGCAGAATTTATTCAAAAAATTCTACATGAAAAAAGAAGTCTCTTGCTGCGGCCTTCAGCTCGACATTTAGCTATATCGACGACGTTTTATCAATCAATTATATTCATTCTCATTCCTACGTTGATTCGATATATTCCTCTGAACTCGAAATGAAATACACCACAGAGTCTGACACAACTTTTTCATATTCGGATATTTTGCTAGAAAAGGACATTAATGGTAACCTGGCAACAAAACATTAACTGATAAACGTGATGATTTCAACTTTTCTATCGCTAACTTCCCTTATTTATGTAGCATTATACCATTATCACTTCCATGTGGAGTTTATTTACCTCGGTTTACTCGATACGCAAGAGCATGCCTTCTAAAACGACGCAAGCTACTGACAAATAAGTTGACAAAACAAGAATACTAACAATCTCGTTTGAAGTCAACATTTTGCAAGTTCTATGGTCGATACAATGACTTTGTCAGCAAATAGAATCTATCAATAAGTATTTGTCTGACATTTTTCATACTAGTTGTTAAGGCATTATTTACACACTGAATTTTCTACGGATTTTTTCGTTTGCCCGATCATGACAAGGAGCACACTTCAAAAAAATTTGGATGTAAAGAGATTTTTTTTCAACATCTGACCAGAGAACCATTGTCCTTTGTGAACTATCTTTATCCGGAAATATTTTTAATAGTGTATTATTGGTCGTGGGTGTGTAATTTTAAGGTGAAGATAACGGTGATCATTGTCATAAATCAAGTAAGCAAAACGAGTCGTGAACAGGGCAAAAACACTGATCGCACTGAGAGAAGGGATCAGGTGCCTAGGAGCAGTAAGCATTCCCTGAAGACCGGTCACATCCGCCGTGAGCCCTATGTATTGATCAGGTAGTCCACTGGTATAAAAACCATGACCTAGCAAATGGTATGAAACCTATCGGACAAAATACGATCCAACGATAGATTGTATTTACAGACAAGGTCATTGATTACAACGGCCAAAGAATTTGCAAATTGGATTGTTGAAAACTTGTAACATTTGTTACATTACGTAAAGTATCGTATTGTTGCTCCATACGTTACCTAGATGGAAGAGTCCTGAAACAGTCTGACCTTACACACATCTTCCAAATTAGGAATTAATGATGACATTTGAAAAATTCTATTGCTGCATATGACATTAACACGACTTCAAATGAAATAATAAAGAAAATATTCAGTTGATGTAAATATATATTCTTTATTGAACTCTTATCAAAATAGATGCACATAACAACATGCTTATCCAATTAAAAGAAAATAGCCCAAGTTACATCTTACATAAACTACAAATAAATTAAGAAAATATGTACTACAGTTTCTTTCTTTTTTTAATTTAAAAAAGAAATTCTTCAAAAACCTTGCTATAAATATGTCACAAATACAAAACATCATTTTCAACACTGTCCATTGAGAAACAACTCCATAAATTTATTTTAAATCATTCGTAAGGTCCAAAAGATATACTGTCTCTCAGCTGAAACAGGAAACCGTTTGTCACTCTGTTTCGTTAGAATCTGCTTCTTCACACGACAGGTAGAGACTCCGCCCGTCAGGAGAGTCCAACACCTGGTTCAATTCGATATTGACAATATCTCTAATTATCCCATCAAAGTGTTCCATTTTCTGTTAAAAAAATCGTTTGAAAAAAATGGTAAAAAGTCATTACGCGAAAAAAATATTTGTTTTGCCTTACCTTGTCTTGTAACTATGCTTGTTCTTTACTTGTTTGAAATGCTTGCTTGCTTGCTTGCTTGATTGATTGATTGATTGACTGGTGGATTAATAGACAGACTGACTGGTTCATTGATTGATTGGTTTACTCACCCGACTTGGAAACGCTCCTCCAATCCAGATGTATTGTTCGTCCTGATTATCTTTCAGGTCAAGAGGAAAGGTCCCAGAAAGTGTGGTGAATTCTTTTCCGTTAACAACAAATCCAGACCGGAAGACTGTCCTAATTGCTGTCTCGTTTTCTCTCGCGAGATGAGCAAGCATGCCTAGATCATGGCTAGTTGCAGGCGATTCCTTTCTCCGGAAGAAATTGACCTTTAAAATTTTATAGAAACCCATTGATCTCTTTTTATTTGGTTTTATGTGAAATAAAAAATGCTTTTATTTGTTGAAAAATTAAATGTTTATGAAATTTAGAGAAAGCAAACCTGGTCATATACAGACAAAGGAAACATTTGAAATATTGGCTTAAAACCGGGAGATTTGTGGCATTTTTGAGCATCCTTGCTAAATAATTTAAAGTAGATTTATTAAAATGTATTATAAGGAGTGTCAGGGATCCCAGTGGATTAACTTTTTGTATCGCAACCTTAAGCAGCGTAACCGAAAATTACATCAACTGATTTCAAAAAATTGTACTATAAAAAATAGATATTTTATTATTGTATTTTATTATACGATGATTGAATAATTCAAATAGTACTCTCTGATTGGCTGATCATGTTGTCATATTCTAATTTTTGTATTTACTACCACCCGGTAAATTCAAAAATTACAATATGACACTTGTCCCAAATGTCATTTGAACCTAACTATTACCTGAATATCCTCGTTTGTGTTTACGTCAAAGTCAGTCATCACGTGACTTCCATACGAACGTCCGATTCCCGTAGAGTCCGGATTAAACACTAAATAATTCAGCTTTCCGTCCCGGAGGTACACACTCTCAAAATCATACGGGGCTTCTTTAGAATACATGCCTTCTATGTAGAATATCATTCCGTCTGGTTTGCTTGTCCGAAACGTCAAACTGAACTCGGCACTGAAACATATATAGTCAGAAACAAATGGAGAAAGCAACAATCACGTGCTGTTTATCTATGTATAGAGGGGAGTGAATTCATTTTGCCACAAACTTTTTTCTTGTCTATTCATCTACCCACAACTCACCCCCACCTACCGCAAAGTTGGATCTTAGGACAAAATACCTGTCTTTTGCTATGTCATACCTTATTCATTTATCCTTATTGCCATATAACTAAAGGAAAGGTGGAAGAATTTGCAATGTTAGGATGTAAAAGGAAAAAGGCACGTGTTCCTAAATCAAAACCTTCTGTTTCTTTTCTTTGGTAATAGATAATGCTTTCAATTGCTAAATCCATATCCAGGTTTGTTTTATTGAATATTTAAGCATGCTTTAATCAAATAAAGTATTTGGCGAGCACTGACTCCTATAGGGATAGTTATCTGAATCTTCTTTTGTAAGGTTCACTGACTTTGAAACACCCCTTCCCTGTACCTATTTTATGCCCCTCCCCTCCCCCCCCCCCCCCCCCCCGGCGAACTTGGAAATTCGGGGGCAATTAGTTTTTTCCCTGACTGTCTGTCTCTTTGTCCGTAAAATTTTTAATCATGATCATAGCTTTTGAATGGTTGGTGCTATAGGGCTTTCATATATGTATTTCTTGTGATAAAACCTTTCTTTGGATACCAACATTTTTTACCTATTGACCTTGGAGTTTGACCTACATTCAAAAAAAAAACTTTAACCTGGTTTTAACTTTTAAATGGTTGATGTAAGGGCTTTCATATCTCACATGTATATTCATTGTGACAGACTTTTCTTTGTGTAGCAACATTTTTAACCTTATGACCTTGACCTTTTTGTTTGATCTACTTTGAAAAAAAAAATAACCTTGGTCATAACTTCTGAACCGTGAGTTGGGCTTTCATATTTCACATTTGTATTCGTTGTAACAAGACCTTTCTTTGAGTCAATTTTGCTTCATGACCTTGGGCTTGGGGTTTAACCTTGGCCATGAGCATATGGGAGCATCAATGTTTTCAAACACATCTTTTTTAAATTATTATTTTGATTCAACACTTCGCCATTTTCTCACTTTCTACTGAACGACTAAAAATAAAATGCTGGATCCACCCATCATATCCTCTTGAACAATTATTTCTTGATTATACTAACCTTTCTGAGAGATTGGCGTCTGTTACATTAAATAGAACATAATTCTCCTGTTTCTTTAGGAATTTAAAGCATTCCTCGGTATAAACCCACGACAGAAATGAAACAAAAACCTGAAAGTATAGATTGAAAAATATAAACCGCCAGTATCCGACCGAAATTTGCTATCATATAATCATCTTAATTTTGACTTTGATTCAATAGACAGATCTTCGTAAATAAGGCAGTCTAAACAGTATTAAGCATATTAGCTGCTGCTACAGCAGATGTTAATAATTCTGAAAAATATTGAAGTATAGTGACGGGCTGCTCTAAGCATCAATTACTTACTAATGATGGTTGGTTAGTTGTCTTTCGAGTCAGTATTATTAGTTTGAATTTAATGTGGAATTTTCGGATTTCATGAAAGGGATCAAAATGTTCGGATCCCTTTTTGGTGTATCATGGAATAAAAATGTAAGTACGCAAGACTACTTAGCTCTTTCCTTCTTTAGACATTTTTGAAGTATTAAAATGTAAATGCTTCAACTTCACATTCCAAGATAGTTCCTTCTTTTATTGATTAAGTCCGAACCTTAAAACATTACTGATTTATCTATATTTATTTAATACAATAATATCAATAAAAATCACTTTCAATTGAATTAACATACTCTTATACATGTATACTCTTCAAAACAACAGAGGCTAGCTATGTTAATTTCTAGGAGACAGGGATTCATATCAGTTTCAATATCTGTATAAACGCGTTTGAAATCTTACGATGTATCATAATTCGATCTATTTCATACCTAATCACATATTTGAAAGTGGAAACTTGGCACATTCTTAATACATGTAACCGACGAAGAAACATCCCCCTTCCCCATTAAATACTCACTACCCTTTCCAAACCATGCTTAATTTTCTTTAAGAATTCAGTTGTTATGAGTAAGTCTGATATTGGGTGTGTTTTATAATTATATAATGGGAGTGGTAGTTAACAACAGCTGAGGGTTGAAACATTTGAATACATTTGGTCAAATAAATGAATCAAAATGAATTTAACTCTTTTAACGTTTCATTAGGAATGAATATACTGTGTATTAAAGTTAGTAGATAAACGTTCTTGCTTTTGTATATAATTTTGTACATGTTTTTTAATATTGCTTTCAACTCCAGTAGGGAATGTTGAATTATTTGATAGGCTTGTTTTATTGTCGGAATGCTAGTGCAATTCAACAGTACATATCTATTGTGCAGTCATTTTATGATTTATTTTTGTTGGGGGTCTCATTCAGCTTATGATAAAACACTGACTTGACAAAAAACACACATACAACGGGATTTCAACAGGTACCGTAGTCTTTGATGTGTTGCAGTCTTAACAGTTTTTATTCAATTTTCTCTTGACTCTTCTACAATTCCTAAGTTTTGATTTATGTGAGAGAACGAGAGAGGAATCAGCATAGAAGTACGTGATATATTTATAGTATTGCAAGTACTAAGGTTCAAAGGCCATAGAAATTGTATATTGACTTACCAGAAGTAAAATATTTATCCATATCTTTGGAAAGACACCCATCTTGATTCTAAGAGCAAAACAAAATATTTTGGCAGAGAAGTTGTTTTGGAAAATTTTCAAGGCAGGAGGCTTCTGCTTGTACGAGATAACAGCACAGGGAGTTTTACGTACGATCTTTCTTTGAATTGTTTGTTTGCATGCATATGATCTTTTTTATTTTCTTACGTGCATGGATAGTAAATTATTTTACTTCCTCAAGTTCTCATCAATTTGCACTTGAAAAATTTCTTACAATACTGTTGCTACATAAATTTGAAAATTACACATTTGCTTTTCATTTTTTTTTTTTTCAGTAGTCTTCAACGGTATTTTAAAATGATGTACACGATTACAAAAGAAAGAGTGTAAACAAATGCTAATATGTTATTTTTTTATGCATACAGTTAACTGTTTAACAATAATTGATCCGCGCCTCAGTACTGTTATGGGAGATTACCCCTCTTCAAGTTCCGTTTTCAAATTGACCAATGAAATTAAAGATAACAAAGAAGCGGAATATTTGATATGGCGACCGATGACTCTGAGACAAATTCTAAAAGTAAAGAGGTAAGTATGTCCAAAAGCAGACCTAATAAGGAAAATCTGTCGATGGTTTTCTCAACAGTTTGAAGTTATCGATTTGTAGGTGTATGTTTGCTATGAAGTCGAGAGCTGGTCAGCGTCACGGTCACGATCCAAATTTGAACTGCATGTTTGTTATACTTATGGAATATGAAATGCGAACCTGTGTTGGCTGTACTGTAAACCTGTTGTTGGTTGTTTTGTGTTTTTTCCTAGTCTTCTAAATATGCTTTTTTAAAATCTTAAGTTAATATTCAAGAGTCTTGACAAGACATACAGTCTACACTAACATGTAATCATATTTAACACCTGGTGCTTGGGTCTTGGTTTATGAACGTGTAGATCTATGCCTATTGAAACTTTTTCACATAGTCAATACATAGGCGTCGGAAGCAAATTGAAAGTGGGGGGCTTATTGAAAGTGGGGGGGGGGCTAAACCAGCGAAAAAAGGTAAGCTCCAATTTTCAATGCCTATATTATGTCTATCTTTGCAAAAAAAGTGGGGGGGCTCAGCCCCCCCCCCCGGTTCCGACGCCTATGCAATAAGTATACATATTTAATATGTTAGACGGTGCGACCGTTGGTGAGGGCGGAGCCATCAAGTGAACATTTCTACATTTTGTTGTTTAATGATAAATCAGTGTTAGAATCAAGTTGTAAATCATAACAAAGACCTCAGTCCTTTTAAAAAAAAGCTTTAAGTTCTCTTATCTCAAATATTTTTCATTTTAAATAAAGAAATTTAAGGGTATTTGTTTTTATATTCTGGAAGACTTTTACTAAGATATTTCATCATGAATTGCTTAGCCAGAGCACTCAAAATCAAAAGCATAACAGGGAAAGAGCGTGCACTGGACCAGTCAAGGATTCAACCTACCCAGGTCCAAGAACCCTTAAACGTTAACTCTTTCATTTATGTATCTGTCCAACAATTAATACGTGAACTTGCATGAGCATCATTTCTTTATCTTTCATGACTTAATTTAAAAACCCCCAATCCAGAAACATCAAGTCATTAATTCTCATCTTTATCTTCCAATGGATGGTCATGACATCAAATACAAATAAGGACAATTGTCAGGGACTACATCGGAAGTTAACTTGGGACCAAAAGTACAGAAAGATGATCTGACTCCTGGGTTATCAGGACACTTGGAAACTGATCATCTGACCAACACTAGGGCTGTGTATCGTGAGGGCTAAAAGTATCAGCATCGCAAAATTTCTGAGAATTATTTTCTTAATTTTAATGGAAAAAACGTAAAGTAAATTAAACGTTTCTGCATTTTTAAAAACTTCTCTGATTCGAATAGTCTTTGGTGCTTTCTAAAGCTAACATAAAAGCAAGGTAAAAATCTTTTCTTTTTAATATCTGGAAAAACGAATTTAACTCTATGAAAGTTTCTTCCCAGATATTAAATTGTTTAAGCGAAAACTATTAGAATCTTAAAACCCAAACTTCTGAATAATAGGATACATTTCTGGGAAGTATCGAATAGAATATTTATAGATGTATCGACCCACCCCCCCCCGCATCAGTAATTGATGTTTTGTGACATCCCTATCCACCACATAATTAATAAGAAGGATCATACATGGAAGCTTTAAAAAAAGATATTTTAGTACTACTCAACAACATTGAACTCTTTACATGGATTACCATGGGTAATGTCAAATGAAGATTCTGGGTTTTTTTTAAGCCAAGAGAACATTAAACTTTATTAATATACAATCATGTCATGTGTTTTGCAGTTCCTTGTGTATTGTTTAAATTAGTTTTTCTCGTGTGATTTTGGACTTTATACACTATTATAATCCACCATAGGTTCCAAATGGCTGAATAAATTTTCTGTTCTATATTTTTAAAAGTACTTTATAAAATAAAATTTTATCCGTTAAAGCGTATCCACATGTATAAATGGAACATGTGTTTGATGTGGTAGTTTGAGCTTCAGACATGTCCAAAGATTTTTCTTTTGATGGTGAGCTTCACAAAACTGAAATGTAACACTTAAAAAAATGATAAATCTTTTGAGAAAAAAAATCACAACAACAAAAATGAGACACAGGCCTCCACCTGCAAATGTATATAGGAACAAGCAAGTAATCAAAGACAAGAATGAATGAATGAATGAATGAATGAATAAATAAATAAATAAACAAATAAGAATAATTTTTTTTTAATTAAATGCATACTCCTTCCCCCCTTCTTGAGTTCATACCAGAATTCAGTAGTCAGAGCTTTTCATGCTTTTCACCATGTCTAAAACCTTTTTTTAAATGTATTTTTCATTATAGGAAAATTATACTATGTCACCAAAAAAAACCCTTATATTTCTAGTCTGTGTATTAAAAATAATAATGTTGAAGACATTCGTAATTAATAAATTTTATTAACAAATAAATTAGAGTTGTTTCTTTTCCCTAAAGTCTGGTGAAAGGGGCCACAGAAAGATCCGCCCCTCCATAGTGCGTAGTACGCAGTCTAGACAGTGACGTCACTGGAATTCGCTATACTGAGTTGTTTTTTTTTTTTGTTTCACCATAATATAGTAAGGTTTATTTAAAAGTATATAAATCTTTTTAAAAAGAGAGTACGCATATGAAATATCAGTTATTACAGATTGTTAAAAATGCAACAGTTTCCGCTGATTCATCAATGAACGACGCATGACGTCACATGTCAGGTCTATGACGATATTGAGTGCAAGTTAGTTGAAAACGAAAGTAACAAGGATGTGTACCATAAGGGTGTTTTTGATTATTAGAATTGATAAAACTTCATTAACGCAGGATTGGAATTAAAATTACGATTCTCCAGCATCTCGTTTATGCGGGAATTTGTCGCGAGATTCAAGATGGAAAAGACTATGGACGCCATATTGGCGACAAGGTTCTCAGTTCCATAGGTATTGTAATAAAATTATAGTTTACAAAAGAATTCAATATATTTTACATACATACGTGTTACCTATAGGGAGAGCTTCGCTCTCACGGGCCCTTCGGGCCCGTGAGAGGGCTCCGCCCTCTATAAACCAAGACCCAAGTGATATTGAACTAAGAAAAGATTATTAAAAAATGAATTACAGTAAAAAATTTAAATGTCTAGAAATATATCATGGGAAGTTACAGAGCTCTATCAGTCATTCGGACTGATGACTTAATGTGTTCTACCAGTCCGAAGCAAATCCTATCAGTCCAAATAAATTCTAGTATAATTCATGATGCAATTCAAAAGAATATGATATTGGTTAGGACTGGTCTTCCAGAAAGTACACTTTAAATTGACGAATTTCACATTCGTAAGAGTTATCTCCCGTTGTCGGCGTAACGCTAATTTTTCTCACTATAACCTTTGTAACTTACCTGTAAATATTTTCAACCTTTAAAAGCTATCAGACAATTTTGATGCATTCCTATATCAGTCTAGACGAACTCCAAAAACAGGGTTTCTGGAAGTAAGAAATTGAGACTGAAAAAGACTCTGAAAATAGAGTTTGCGCACAAGCACAAAAAAATGGCGATATTTCGGCAAAAATGATAGGTCTACAAAAACTGTCTGTGCAAAGTTTTGGAAAGTATGGCAATATTATTCCAGTACTCAGAAATGCTTAATAAAGGACTTCAGAAGAGATGGTATTTGTTAGATTTTTGAATTTATTTCACAGGCACTTGTTTCTGTAATAAATTTTCTACCCATAGTATAATAATAACACAAGGTATCCAACTCCGAATTACACGGAGTACCCCCCTCACTCAGAATCGCACTCATTTACAGTATCAGAGGACAGGCACTGGCAAACTCTTTATACCTATGTCTTCTACGATAATTTATCTACACAACCATGTATGGCATGCATGTCTTTATTTTCTTTTATCTCTGTAAACAGCATCAAAACTCTGCTCGGCGAGTGGAAAAGTCGAATTCAACCGTGAAATGGTATGTGCTAATCCCGGGCAAAGATTTTGATTGGCTGAAAATCTGTTTCTAAAATTACATCAGAAAAATATTGTAGTGTTTTTTTTATGGAAAATGAGAGGTAAACAAATTTTATTTATTCACTGCAATATTTAAACACTGGGATTGAATTTTCAAACCCACTCATTTTTTAATTTTGCTCTCTGCCCGGGATTAGAACGAAAATCCATCGTTTGTTTACATCGGACACCATTTTGCCGCAATGCGTGATGGAGCCAAAGACTTCGTTTTTCGGAGTTCACACCATTTTTGGAGTTCGTCTAGACTGTATATTGCTATAGAAAGGGTAAAAAGTAAAAAACATAACAAACATATTCATATAGATTTCATTTGTAAGACATTGCCCCATAAAGTTGGTAAAGGTATAGAGGAAAAACAGTGTCTTATGCCTGTTGACCCCAGATTGACCTCGCAAAGGGAAATAACTTTTTATAAATGTGAAAATCGTCTATTACTGCAGAACATCAATGCCAACCTAGATAACTGGACCTTGAAAGTACTAAGACAGTGTGTAAATAATTCTGCAGATGGTATCAACACCCATTATGAGGCATTTCAATAGTTCAGAGTACAATTAATTAGAATAATCTTAACCGAGTCTCGAGACAAGCCCACATCACAGCGAAAATACGTCACACATATCGATAGTTGCAATGGAATTCGCTTCAAAACGAGTTTGAAGAATACAAAAGGAGTTCCACTGAAAATAAATTACTCATAACAAATCTTTGTGAACTTGTATATATATGTCTTTTATCCTAAAAAATAAGCCATAAAAAGACAAAAATTCAACTCATTTTCTCAGCATTTTTTCTCCCTTTGAATTTACATGCCATGTTGACATTTGGAATTCTCTAGATTATTCATAGTAGTGTAGATTAGAATTATCTGCCCATTTATTTTGCTACATTGCCAGAAAGTAACTCACTAAAGGCTTTTGAGATTATGAAGAAAAGACAAAACTTTATGGGTACAACGAAAACTAAAAAAAAAAAAAAAAAACAATGGATTGTTAATGCAGAAAATGATTGGTCATTTGGACCGGTGAGATAGTGAATTGCATTGGACATTTCAATTTTCTATCGATTTTGCCCTTAGGACTGATGGTTTTCGGAAACTCTGAAAATATCATGACGATTGTATAAATAACTAATTATCATGTAAATGTATTTTCATGTAAATACCTATAATGATTCTTGATCTTTAATTTCTACATCGTGAATATAGAAATTGTAAACATTTATATGACAACAGATGAATTTAGCTTATAAATCAATAATTTATGTTTTCTTTGTTTCTTCCTCTTTTTAGCTCACCTGAGCCGAAGGCTCAAGTGAGCTTTTCTGATCAAAATTTGTCCGTTGTCTGTCGGCGGCGGCGTCGTTGTTGTCGTAAACTTTTTTCATTTTCATCTTCTTCTCCAGAACTACTAGGCCAATTTCAATCAAACTTGGCACAAAGTATCCTTGGGTGAAGGGGTTTCAAGTTTGTTCAAATGAAGGGCCACGCCCTCCTCTAAGGGGAGATAATTACGAAATAGCAAAAAATTAATGGCATTATTGAAAAATCTTCTTCTCAAGAACCAGTGGGCCAGGAAAGATGAAACTCAAGTGGAATTATTGTCAGGTAGTGTAGATTAAGTTTGTTCAAATCATGACCCCCGGGGATAAGGTGGGGCCACAATGGACGATCAAAGTTTTACATAGGAATATATAGGAAAAATCTTCAAAAATCTTCTTCTCAAGAACAGCAAAGCTATGATTGGTCATATTTATTTGGAAGCATCCTCAGGTGGTGTAGATTCAAGTTTGTACAAATCATGACCCCCGGGGGTAGGGTGGGGCCACAATGAACGATCAATGTTTTACATAGGAATATATAGGAAAAATCTCCAAAAATCTTCTTCTCAAGAACAGCAAAGCTATGATTGGTCATATTTATATGGAAGCATCCTCAGGTGGTGTAGATTCAAGTTTGTTCAAATCATGACCCCTGGGGGTAGGGTGGGGCCAAAATGGACGATCAATGTTTAACATAGGTGTACATAGGAAAAATCTTCAAAAATCTTCTTCTCAAGAACAGCAAAGCTATGATTGGTCATATTTATTTGGAAGCATCCTCAGGTGGTGTAGATTCAAGTTTGTACAAATCATGACCCCCGGGGGTAGGGTGGGGCCACATTGGACGATCAAAGTTTTACATTGGAATATATAGGAAAAATCTTTAAAAATCTTCTTTTCAAGAACAGCAAAGCTATGATTGGTCATAATTATGTGGAAGCATCCTCAGGTGGTATAGATTCAAGTTTGTTCAAATCATGACCCCCAGGGGAAGGGTGGGGCCAAAATGGACGATCAATGTTTAACATAGGTGTACATAGGAAAAATCTTCAAAAGTCTTCTTCTCAAGAACAGCAAAGCTATGATTGGTCATATTTATGTGGAAGCATCCTCAGGTAGTGTAGATTCAAGTTTGTTCAAATTATGACCCTCGGGGGTAGGGTGGGGCCACAATGGACGATCAAATTTTTACATAGGAATATATAGGAAAAATCTTCAAAAATCTTCTTCTCAAGAACAGCAAAGCTATGATTGGTCATATTTATGTGGAAGGATCCTCAGGTGGTGTAGATTCAAGTTTGTTCAAATCATGACCCCCGGGGGTAGGGTGGGGCAACAATGTATGATCAAAGTTTTACATAGGAATATATAGGAAAAATCTTTAAAAAATCTCAAGAACAGCAAAGCCACGGTTTGTCATATTTATACGGAAGCATCCTCAGATAGTGTAGATTCAAGTTTGTTCAAATCATGACCCCCCTCCCCCCCACTCCCTTTTTAGGGGTAGGTTGGGACCACTTATTCATTTATGCTTTTCAATACTAAACTGATTTTTCCTTTTTTCCTAGCCACAGTGCTCAGGTGAGCGATCTGGCCCTTGGGCCTCTTGTTTTTCTTTAGGAGATGGAGAATTTGGATGTTTCCAATATTGCTAGTGTGAAAAAGCGAAAACGAGGCTTGAAAATGATGAAAAAGAAAACACCACTGTTAGATTTGGATACATCTGTACGCAGGAAGAGACTTAATACTTCCCTCACCAAAAAGCTAAATCTTAGCAGTAAGTATACCAAAAAAAAAAAAAGATGCAATAATTTAAGTAAAAGATGACATCATATAACATCAATTTCAGTTGTTATTTCTGAGACCCATCTTATTCACATACTGCATTATCTGGAATTAATTCATTTGTATGTTAAAAAGAAAAAAATATAACTTCCTTGTAATCTAGATGGTAATTCAGGGCTCTAACACCCTTTTTTGGATGGGGGCAAGGCAATTAAAATTAAAAAATTGGCAACCTTTTGAGAAAATCATACATTTATAGTTATTATCATTCCAATAAGAGTGTGTCACTCAGTTAACTTGATCAAGTGTGCTAAACTTTTCACATGACTTCATTGATTGGCTGTTTAGTATCACAAATGCATACTTCTTTGCCTATAAAAAACAAACCCCTCAAATCCCACCAAGATTTTGACCAGTCACATTGAACATGTTGAATGCATAATTGTTTGAAATGTATATGTACTATGTAGAAAACAGAAACGTGGTCAGTCAATTTTTTTTTTTTTTTAACCAGTGTTATCTCTTCTCAGACAACAAAACGATGATATCAACTGATTCTTACTTTTTTCCTACTCTTGAATTAAATATATCTCATTTCAACTTTATATAATGTTATTCCAAACAACTTTATAAAATGGTAATTCAGAAAATACCTATCTAATTTATCTAAAAAACATCGAAATAGCATGCATGAAAAGGGGCATAACTCAGTTTCCTTTTTCAACTTGGAAAAATAGAAAATTGAGTCATTATCCCTTTTTAATGTGTCAGTAAAATTGATCACTGCGCAGTGTTGGACCTGATGCAAAAGTGCCTGAGAAACTACAGATTAAATTTTTTTAGTAATGATCAATCTTGACTCAGAGGTTTTATTCAATTATCCATACTAAATTTCGTATGAAATCCATGTTTCCTTTCAGTAAATTCTGTACAGAAGCAGTCATTGAGAGCCAATAATCGGGCCCTGGCAGTGAATCTGGAGAGGGCCAAACAGGAACTCCGGACGGCTCTAGAAGTGAATCATGAACTTCGCAAGGAACTCCAGGAAAGAGAGATGAGGATTGTCATGCTCGAGCGAGTGTCTGGACTGAAAAACGAGGAGATCGAGGAGGAGGTGCTTAGAAGAGTAGAGGTTCTTACTTTTATTTTAAAGTTTTGATTAACTTTTTTTATGTTTATTGAGTATCGAATAATATAGGAGTACAGAATGTAAAGAGAGATAAAATCTGCTTCTGAGGAAAAACAAATCATCTGAAAATGAAAAAAAATAAGAGATTTTCTAGTTTTCAATTCTTGGACATATGGGCTTAGCATCTTTTTCCATTGACCCACTTATTTCGTATACTACTTGATAGTTTAGGAAATTCATGTACAGTCAAACCTCTTTATATTGAAATTAAAATATGTAAAGAAAATGTTTATGGGACTTCCAACTTACATTGACATATCCATGGTATTCAACATATCGAATTTCAAGATACCAAAGTTCAACTGTTTTCATTTTATTGAACTACCATCTTGTGCAGATTCTCAAAATTAATTGAGGGGTGTACGAGGGGAAGTTTAAATTGAATAATAATCATGATAAAGATTTACATGTTATATTTCTAGCAAAATCACGAGACTTTGAGGGGTATTCTGACAGCGATGGGAGAGAACCTGTTTGCGGTCAGCCATAACCTGAGCGAGGCTCTTCATCATTGTGTCCAGTCGTCCAGACGGTCAACCATTGGATCCAGGAAGACTTCCTCTGTTGGCAACTCCTCTAATGCGGATTTGGAAGTTGATGTCAATGGCCCTGCATATCAGAGGTAAATGTAAAAAAAAAAAAATTACAGACAGTGTTTTACTTGTTCATGGTGTGAACTGATATTTACATTTTTTTTGTAAAATTGTTACCTCTTTCATAAATGTTGTAATGAGAATGCTGAATGTTTCTGGATGTCTTCTTTCAGATCTATTTATGCACAGACCAAGGGATCCTCATTATCTCTCCCTAAGGAAGCCTTACCCACATCAGAAGGGGGCCCTGCCCAGTCCCTCCCCATGTTCCCCATCAGTTCACACGACATGAGTGTGATTGCTGAACAGACAATGAGTCTGGAGGACGTGGAGCCGCTTACTGATTTAGACTCAGCTCTCCTTAACATTAGTGGTATAAAAAAAATCTAAACATATTTAATTGGAGAGTTGATATTACATTGCATTTCCTTTGCTTTGTGTTGAGTTGTAGTGACGGTTCCTGATTTTTTTTTTTTTTTCAGATGACTTAGAAGTAGAATCGGGAAAATCTCAGAACAGTGAAAAAGAAGATAAAACTAAGTCACACGTGTCTAAACTCCCTCAACGTGTGCCAAGGAAGGAGAGAGCTGTAGGAATAACAAAGGAGCCATCAAACACAGATAATACAGATGGTGGAAAGGATGTAGAAGTTATGGCTGAAAAAGAGAAGAAGAAGATCAAGGAAAATGGAAAAGAAAAATCTAGGACATCAAAGGACATCAAAGGTGGAAGCTCTTTAGAGAAGAAAGTGAAGTATAAGGATAAAATGGATAGAAGAGGAACATTTGTGGTGGCTGATATTGGAGATTTAAATTCTGAAATGAATTCCTGTCCACCTGCAGAGAATGAAACAGAGAATTCTGATGATAGAAGGAAGACTTTTGTCAAACCTCAGAGTTTATTGCCAGAGGAGCCCAAAGACAGGAGGGAGACATTTGTGGTTCCTCCGAATTCATCAGAGAGTTCAGAGAACCCTGAGCCAATGGAAGAGGATGATCACACCAGGTACTTCAATACAGATATGGAGATGACTGAGGTGTATAACTTTACACAACAGATCTCAACTGACTCCATCAATAACAGCAACGAAACCTCAGTTTCTAAAAGCGATGACAACAATGGCAGCAAAAAGGGAGAGAAAAATTCACAGAAAGAGAGTAAAATCAGAGTGGAAGATGAAAACGATAACAAAGATGTAGAGAATTCAAAGAAAGCCTCAGAGAAGAAAGCAGCAGAGACTGTTGGGAAGTCCAATGTGGCGGCTTTAAAGAGTAAACTGGAAAAGATGAAATCCAATGAGCACTCAAAATCAACTAAAACATCTAAACGTGATAAAGATGAAAGCGTGGAAAAAACAGCAGAAAAGAAAGAATCTGAGGAACCTGGAAAGAAAGACGGTGAAGCCACTGGAAAATCAGTTGTTGAAATGAGAGTATCCAAGCCTGGCAATTTTGAGTACCGTGCTTCAAGAAAAATGGACGATGGAACACGACAGCCTGTTCCCGAGAAACCTGTGTCCAGAGCCAGATCAAAAGGGAAAGTGAAACTAAGTAAGGCTACCAGTGAAGTTATCTCAACCATCACCAAGACACCAGGCAAACCGAAAAACGTGTTTGACTTTGGGGACAGAACTCCAACTGTTACACTAGATGTTAAATCCTTGTACAGTGACCCCAACGAAGAAAAAGAAGTTAAAGAAAAAGAGGTTGAAAAGACATCTAATTCGAAAAAAGGCCATCATGAAAAAGAATCGAAAGATGACAGTAAAAAGGTTAAAAGTAATAAGGATGAGGACAAGAAGGTGAAAACAAATAAACCAGTAAAAGAGCCCAAGCTTCTGCCAGATAACCCAGTATATTATGTACCAATGGCCAAAGGGTCACCAGCTGTAGACAGGGAACCAGTCAGGCAATCCAGAAGGTCAAGGTCAAGACCCCGAACCTATAAAGAAGCATCCTCTGATGAAGAAGAGGAGGAGGAAGAAGATACAGAAGTCAAGTCAAAAACTAAAAGACAAGGAAGGTCAAAATCCAGAAAAAGGTATAGCAGTGGAGAAGAGGAGCAGATAGGAAGGAGGACAAGGTCACAGAGTAGGGGAAGAGGAAGAGAGAAAAAAGGAGAAAAGAGGGAGGAAGACAGCGACTATGAATCGTCAGCAGCTAGTGAGCAAATTAGATCTAGAGGCAGATCAAGGAAACGAAGGGATAGTAATTCAGAAGAGAAGGTCAAGGTCAGTAAAGAGAGAACAAGCAGGTCAAGGACAAGGAAATCTGTGGTACAGGAGAAGGAAAATACTGATAAAGCTGAGCAGGAGGAACCAAATGGAGGGAAGGGTGAGGATGCAGAGGAGGTAAAAATTGTTAGGAAAACAAGAAGTAGGTCAAGGGCTCGGTCAATGAAAGAAAAAGTGGAAGAAATGGGGCATCAAGACAAGGTGTGTCAAGATAAATTGTCAGAAACTGAGGTTAATGAAATTGATTTGGACATACAACCAAATTCTTGTGCAGGTGAAATATCAAATGATGAAACATCCCAGAAATCAAGTAAATCATTTTTAGAGTCGTTGAGGAAGTCATCTGGATCAAAGGAGAAGGGAGAAGTAGAGCAGACAAAGAGCTTTCTGGCATCTCTGGCTGGAAGTAAGGAACAGGAGAGAACATCAAGGAAATCAGACAGGCAGGAAGAGGTTCTGGTGTCTGTCAGCTCTGACGAAGACACAGCAAGGGAGGTTGTGCCAGAGGGACAGGGATTGTCTGTAAATGAGTCCTTGGTTGAGGTTAATTCTGACAGTAGAGAAGAAATGTCTTCATCTTCTGCTTCAGCAAAGATGAGGACAAAGAGAAAACATGAAGAAGTAGATGAAGACAATGGAAGACTCAAGGAAAAGAAGGGAAAAGAAAGCAATAAAATGGAAGAGAAGAAAGCAAGAGATGGAGCAGAATTGAAAACTGTTAGTTCGAAAACTGAAGCAAAGAAGACAAGTGAGGGGAGCCAAGAAGATACGTCAAGAAAACATAGAGAAAATAAAGACAAAACTACAACCTCGGAATCAGTGTCTCCCATCTCTGCTGTAAGTGTTGAGGATCGATTATCCCACTTTGTACGAGAACGAGGTCACACCAAGCCCACAGTTGTGGATGATAACGATGACATTACTTTTTCTGATTTTGATAAACTCTATAAACATGTTTCGGCCAAAAGAGCAACAGAGAGCAGTAGTGGTGTTAAAGTAAATAACCAGGAAGGGGCTGCAAAAGGTGAGAAAAAAGAGAATGATGTGGCAAAAATAAGTCACAAGAGCCCTCTCTTGAAAACACCAGAGATGCCAAGGAGGAAAAGTCAGAAGTCAGCAGTGAAATCCAAGTCTAAGAAAAGCTCAAAGAAGAAATCACAAGACAACCAAAGTGCCAAAAAATCAAAGTGTCATCAACAATCAGAGACAACACCAAAGAGCCTAGGCTCAGAAAAATCGAAGAGTCATCAAGGATCAGAAAAAACACAAAATAACCATGGCATGGAGAAAGAAAATACTGCTGAGGTAAGTAAAGTGTAGATTTCCATGTCAGTTATTTGTATTTCAGAAATATCTTTAAACTTTTCATGAGTATTATACACCGTTAATATCAAAAAGTGAGAATATGATTTGAACTGACTGGACCAGCTTTATTAAAATTTATTTCTGAGATGCTTTTCTTACACAGATGTGTTTAAAAGTTTTGTAAAAAGGATTTTTCTGAATTTACTTTTGTAGAATGTGAGCAGTAGTAAGGAGAAGCTAGCACTGCTGAAAAAGAGGCTGACAGAGATCGGGCACCGAAAACCCTCCATTGATCCACTGTCTGATATTCAACTGGCTCAGTCTCTACCCTCCTCACCCAATTCTGAGTAAGTCACACTGTCTGATATTCAACTGGACCAGTCTCTACCCTCCTCACTCTATTCTGAGTAAGTCACACTGTCTGATTTTCAACTGGCTCAGTCTCTACCCTCCTCAACCAATTCTGAGTAAGTCACACTGTCTGATATTCAACTGGACCAGTCTCTACCCTTCTCACTCAATTCTGAGTAAGTCACACTGTCTGATATTCAACTGGCCCAATCTCTACCCTCCTCACTCTATTCTGAGTAAGTCACACTGTCTGATTTTCAACTGGCTCAGTCTCTACCCTCCTCAACCAATTCTGAGTAAGTCACACTGTCTGATATTCAACTGGACCAGTCTCTACCCTCCTCACTCAATTCTGAGTAAGTCACACTGTCTGATATTCAACTGGCCCAATCTCTACCCTTCTCACTCAATTCTGAGTAAGTCACACTGTCTGATATTCAACTGGACCAGTCTCTACCCTCCTCACTCAATTCTGAGTAAGTCACACTGTCTGATTTTCAACTGGCTCAGTCTCTACCCTCCTCACTTAATTCTGAGTAAGTCACCCTGTCTGATATTCAACTGGCTCAGTCTCTACCCTCCTCACTTAATTCTGAGTAAGTCACCCTGTCTGATATTCAACTCGCCCAGTCTCTACCCTCCTCACTTATCACACTGTCTGATATTCAACTGGCCCAATCTCTACCCTCCTCACTTAATTCTGAGTAAGTTGAGTTGTGATGGACAAAATGACACAGTGCTGACAGTAGATTCCAATAAAGTTTTATAAAATGACCTACACTAAGCAAGAAACATTATTTTAGGCTGCAACTGTTGGTTAATAAGAAAAGAATTCGGTGGTTAAGAAAAGATCATTTTTGTCCTGTTAAAGAATCTTTTTACATTAAGCTCTGTGTGTTACATCTGCCGGCAAATGTTAATATTTTAAAATGAGCTCAATATTTTTTGAAGTTGATAAAACATGAGTATGAATATCGTAGGAGAGAGAATATTTAACACAATCATATTTCAGACTGATACATTTGTGTATTTACAGAGAGCCAGATAAAAAGCGACCCAGGCGAGGGGGACCAGTGTCTTATAAAGAAAAACCTCTTAATAGGTCAGTATTGTAATTATTAAAGGAAAACTCACAGAGCACTGTAGCCCTTTTCACAAAAACAAGAAAGTGAAGTAAATGAGCACTTCACTGCTGTTTCAACCTCTGTATATTGGGTACATGCAAGTGTAGGTCGCAGGTAAAATGTTTTACTGGAAAATATGACTTTTGTAAAACCATGTGATGTTTAATTTCTCTTGGCAGTATATGTACCCATTTATCAAACCATAAGTATAGTTTTTCTTCATCATTCTTCCATTCTCCTTGCAGTAAGATACGAAGAGGCGATGCATTCTTTGACAGAAGCTAAAGTTAGTTTTACCTGGGATACAAGTTAAGACAGGTATATATATGTACATCTAAACAAAATGAGTCATTAGCAGAACACTACATATAATGTCCTATAAACTGTGTTTATTAGTTATTTTTCAATTATTGTTGTATAGTAAGAAGTGTTATTATTCATTTAAGATGAATGCAGTTGTAGCAGAGCAGGTCTTGCCAGAGTCAAAGAAGACTGAACACGGTACAACTCATTTCCTTCAATATCCAGAGAATGAAGGAGTTACTTCCCTTAGATGTAGTGCCAGCGCCTTTATAAAATCGTGAAAGTTGAAGGATATAATCTGAGTATATACAATTTTTACAACAAAAAAACCATGAATATACCGTAAGATATAAGGTACATTCTGCATGCAATGTTTAATTTGTGATGATTAATGTTTACTAGCAGGGATTTTTTTTTCTATTGTACAGGGGCTCCCATATGATTGTGTAAATGTGAATTATGTTTATTTTATGTTTAACACAAAAGAAAGTTAACATGATGCAGTTGTAGTACATAGACTTCATTTCCAAGTACTTCTAAATCTTTCAAGATTTCCTTTCATCTCTTCTCACTATGATGCTTTTTTTAATCTTTCCAATGTTTTATCATTATTACATGTATCTTTTGTATGTTATGCTGTGGAATTGAAGCCATTTTATATTGCATTGTAATCTCATTCAAATTATGTCTGAAAATTTTGTATTCCTACAAAATGTATAAAAACAGAATTTGTCATATGCATTTAGTGCTAAGATTTATTTTTAGTGAAATAGATTTTCAAGTTAGAAAGTTACAAAGATGATTACATGTTTATCGTGTGGTCCTACTTGACCAGAGAAATGCTAGGTCATAGGTTCTAAGACTAAAGTTAATTTTTTTTTCTTTGGTCTGCTAAACATTGTTTTGTATGATTTTAGGATGACAACTTGGTCATTTAACATTTTAATTTTTAAAAAAATGTTTTAAAGAGAGATTGTCAGCGATCCTATCTGGTAGTCTGAACTTGTTTTAATCAACTGACTTTTCACTGAGAAACCTTGCATATGGTAATGTCAGTATTAAAAAAATCATTGCAGTTTTGTTTAATTATTACTTTATTTTTCTTATCATGATGAAAATTTGCAAATAAAACTGATAAAAGAAGTCAATATACACTGTATATTGTGTTATTTTTCAAAAATGAATTTTCAGTGTCCTGGGCATGGTATTTGGATCCAAAAGCATGATAAAACAACATTACCCAAACCTGACCATAAAAACTTGCTGTTTTAAAATATTGTTTTTATCCTACATGGATTATAAATTATCTTATTGAATTATGTTTATTCAGGAAGTTGTAAGACGGAAATCAATTGATATTTATAATACTCTCGTGAGCAATAAAACATGCTTATATTGAAGATCTATATTCCCTAGATCCAATTTCTGTGTTCAAGGTTACATATGTGTAAGAAGGAACTTCATATTTGTAATGAAGTTCTGAATATTTCTAAAAAAAATTTCAAGTAAAAATTTTGTACACTTCACAAAATTATATTTGACAGATATTGCTCTGAACAAGTGATTGGTTGGTTGATTTCAAGGGCATTGGCATAACTACAATTTCTTTCAAATCCATATTTTTCGCAGTGGAGAAAAAAATACAGTATTGTAAGTTTATAAACCAAATAATTGTTTATGTCCTGAAAGTGCACCATGAACTTAAGGTCGTATTGGCAAGTTTTAGGTCACTAGTGCAAGACCCAAAAATGTTAAATTTGTGTTTAATCCAAAACATTTTAACAGAAGACAGTTGGAATCGATACCTTACAAAATAATTACATCAGGGAGTGTCAAGATATTTGTTGAAACAGCAGAAAAAACTCTGCCCCTACTTGTCACAGATTGCTGCTGATTTTCAAGCATGCTACAACCTTGACTTGACTCAAGAGCATTTGGGCAAATAAGTTCATAGTCACTGGAAGATAAATAGCTTCTTTCTGTCCAGGTCATCTCTTTGTAATCAAGAAACACTGGGAGCTCTACTTGACAGGAAGATTGTGTATGACCAGTTGGTTTGACAGGGCTCTCAACAATGACATATTGGTTACGAACTTCAGGTTCACTAGTAGTAAAGTTAGACAGGTACATTGGAAGTGCATTTAAAAAATGATGTTTTTACCTGAAAATGAATTATGAACCTGAATCACAGATATCTACAAAGGGTCAAGGTTACTTAAGAGAAGAAATTGACCCATTGACCCAATCAAGTTAAAAAAAAAATCCCCAGGTTTTTAACTTTAGGACCTTTTGACATTGGAACATGGGAAGTTGAGATGCACTGAACCAAATTAAAACTTTTGACCTTGACCCATATCATAAATCAAGGTCAAATGAAACAATAACATCTAGATCACAAATTGAGAATCCCTTGACATAGGACTTCAAACTTGAGGCATGGTAAGATGATATTAATCTGGGATCCATCACAAAATTTTTGACCTTGAACAGTCATAATAAAATAATATCCACTTTAGGACCCCGTGACATTAGGACTTTAAACTTTGAACTTGAAAACTTTATAATATACTGTTTAATACATGTAGTTACCTTGAGCATTATGCAATATAGATGACATGAATTAGACTTGTCACTGTTATTGCCCACAATATACTCTTGCATGTAGATGTATTTAGGAAAATCTTACTTTGAAGGGGAGATAAGTTTGTGTTAGTTTCTTTTTTACCCACTAGTTATACACAGTTGCACATTTTAGGTGTAGTTTGCTATCTCAATCATGATGTCTCAATTTTTTTACTTCTTTATCAAAGAAAAAATTACAGTGAAAAATCTGTAAGCTCTTGACTTGAATCAAACTCTTCCGACTCTACAAAAAGTGATTTTTACACTCAATATGCAGAATTTGGAACACTTACACATATAATAAATTGAAGATTAAGGCTTAAATTGGACAAAATTGACAGAATTTTGCAAGACAATTTCTGTAACATATGCAAGGTATCAAATAATCATCCCAAAGCACAACCAAAGAGAAGTCTAGAAATCTAATTTACAAAGGGCCATGGGTCTATAATTAGAGGGTGCAATGCCTTGAAACTCTCAGACTTTCTGTAGTTCTGTGCTAATATTAACAGTCTAATGTCATTCATCCTAACTCAAGCCTGGCTAGAAAAGTCTGATAAACTACAAATGGAAAGGAAAAACCATAATAATTCTGTCTAGCTATACCTATAGATGGGAATGTAAAAATGAAAACAAAACACCACTGACTTTTATGCACAATGTTTTATTATTGCACAAACCCTGTACAAATCTTTCTGTCACTTTGTAACACCAGAAATTATGTTGATTTTTCCCTTAAAAATGACATAAAAAATCCAAGTTCCCAACTTGGAAGTTTAAACAAATCATTAAAAATGGTTGTTGGAGACAGATTTATGTATTATGCCAACTCCTAATTCAATCAAACCATGGAACTTTATACAGAAAAGTTATAGGTCTTTCAAATATGTGTACAGTGTATTAGAACAGTACTTCTCAGTCAAACAGCTATGGTATTACATGTAAACCAGTTATCCTTGGTTCTACTGCATTTTTATTTAAATCTGCATAAAGATAAATTCTTTATTTGTCTACTTTAAATATAATGCTTCCTACCCCAACCTGACCTTTACTGACATAGAATTACATAATCTGGTGCCTATTTCCTGGTAACTTACAACTGAATGAATCACTAAGCCATTAAAATGATTTTGAGATATATCAAAATTTACACTGACAAAAACAGTAAAAAAAACTGACCCCTTAACTAATGTTAGAATCATAAATAAATACAGCATACTTATTAACATTTTGACTCATTTTGAAAATTGTAGTAAAGTTATTGAGATGTACATTGCAGGTCTTACAGATGCATTAGGTGAGCATACAAAACTAGACTTCAAAGAATTTAATGATTCAAGAGGCAACCATTCAGGTATCTCAACAACGCTTACAGAGAAATGACATTGCCCACAATTTTGACTTAATGCTAAAGATCCAGTATAGGATTGCTCACACAAAAGCGTGCAAGCCCAAAAGTCCTAACAGAATTAAATAAGCTGGCTCGATGGTCATGGGCTTTAAACCTCTTTGAAAAAAGAATATAGGAGATTGCAGTAAATATAATATTTTAATATTATATTATTGCTTGAACATGTTTTCTTTCTTGACTTAATAATATTAGAGAGTTAGTTTATAGGAATATTTCCTATTTTTAGGTGGATCTGTTATGTTGACCACTCCAACTCCATAATAAAGTGTCAGCCCTGTTGATTACAAGCCTTAGACACACACTGGAAATTCATGAACTTAAAGGTCATGTGAATAAATTTAACAGGTGGTTTATAAGCTAATAATTGAATTTTGTATGACTTTGTATCATGACTGATGACTGGTGATGATTTTTAATACTGTATATCATCTGCACCAAACTTCTACATGTTTTCCTAACATCATTTTTATTCAAGTCAACTTCCACTCCAAAAAATTACAAAGATATAAAAGAAATATTGCATAATATGTTGCCTTTTGTAAAAGCACAGCATGTGTACTTTGGTTCCTCTTTTGTACATGTACTTAACAAGTAAAGCCTTGAATGTGAAAGTGTTATAGCAGGGGGTGCAATTACAATACTGGTCACTGAGGGTTGTCATGGTAACAGCTTGAGCCGACAAAAAAGTACATTTGTAAAGCTATAACTGAGAGGAAATACAACAGAAAAACTAAGAATCAAAATATTATGTCTTCATGTCTACTTCCTTAAACAAACAGGGATATTTTTAGAATTGATGTCTAAATTGCAGAGGAGCATTTTAATCACTAATTTCTCATAAATTAAGACTATTAACAATTTCTCTCAAAACAGTTGTGCTTACTGTAAAAATATGGCAATGACTAGACTTGACAATTATATCTATGAAGAAGTATTGATCATGTTTTGAGTTACGTCATACATGCATATGCATTAATTATACCGAAGCAGACATTTTGTTCCACCTTGCATTTCAGTATAATTTTACACAAAATACACTCACAAAAATATGATCAAAGCACACTGATGTCACAAAAATGATTTTGATTGAGACACTGAAGTATATAATTATTGTAATATATAAACAGCAATACTGTCCACAACATATACAAAACAAAGTAAAAGCACTTAACTGCGTGGTACATTTGCACAGATTTAAAGGGCAATAACTCTTGTCTCAATTTCAGATACTGGTACATGTGTATAGAATCATTTAACATTTTGACTTTTTTTAAAACTTTCCCTGAAAAGATTTGTTTCTCTTAAAAGCTCACACTAAAAAGAGTTACTGGCCTTTCAACCAAGTCAAAACATAAGTATTAAACACAACAGGAATTCTTAAAACTTATCAAATGTTTACCAGCAAAGTGATCCAACAATATCTGGTATAATTATAATGTATAAAAATACAGCCCTCTCAATTAAAAAGAAATCAAACAGCCATTTTTTCTTCTTCATAAAATCAAAAGTGGGCCTGTTTTTACCTTTTTATCAAAGATCTAATCTTCAGAATACAAACTTTAACATCACACGTATCTACTCTAGTTCACATTGTATGCAAGGGATGGTACAATTATTATATAACATTCAAAATACAATTAACACAGAATTGTCACGTCATGTCTGTTGTGTGAGATGAGTTTCACGACTTCGTTTTGGAGGAGGGGGTGGGGGTTTACCTCTCTTGACATTACCGTCACTAGCTAAACCCGCTAAAAGTTCTGGGGGAGGGGGAGGAAGGTCATTAATGTCCATTATTCCCTCGCACTCCTGAAAGTTCTCGTATAATGGTGAATCATGAACACTTGGCACTACGTTATCTTGGTCCTTTATTCTGGATACTTCTGACGAGAGTCTCGTAGTTTCGCTGCGTTTGGGAGGGGGCGGCGGCACCCCCTTTTTGACGGGAGCACTATTTGGCCTGACAATCTCAGGCTTGTGATTATGTGGGGTGACCCCATTAGTCAGTGTATTTGTAGCACCATTGATATTTTGCATGTTTGAATTTGAATCTGTTGGTTTAGGCAACGTCTGCGGAGGAACCTTTTTAGGCCCAGTACTAGATCGTTTTGATAATTCATCCAAAAACGGCAATGATTTACCACTGTCATCTAATCTGGGGGACATTGGCTGAGCCCCAGGGTTTGGGGGTGGGGGTGGATAGCAGTTGACAGATCCCCCTGAGGAAGTTCTGGACATATTGCTCCCAGTAGAACCACGGCTACCCTGTGATCCTGGCCTCACTCTAACCTGATCAAAATGTTCATAACCATGTGCACTGTTTCTCATCTGAGGTGACTGGACCAGGGCAGGGGAGATTGGGCTTACAGGGGACATCACCCCTGGGCTAGCTGATGGCCTTGTGGCCCCACAAGACAAAGGTGGTGGGTAGGTTTTCTGTGCTTTTGATTGGCTCATAGGTGGTGGGGAGGCCATAGACCCAGCAGGAGGGATAGGTTGGGGTGCAGACATAGGAGACAAAGGTGAATCTGATGTGACCTCTGGACCCGACTTTGAAGGAGCTTTACCGAGGTTCATAGCACCTGACTGTAAGCTTACATACTGATTTTGTAAGAGTGGCATAGCAGGAGGCATTGCCAACATACTCCTAGGAGTTGTGGGTGAAGATTCTGAGGGACAAGGAGAAGAAGCATTGCTATCACATTCCTCTGACAAAACATTAGCCTGCTTGAACATAGGGTTGGAGAGACTTGTGAGAGGAGGTGGGTGAAATGGTAAGGCCCCTGGTGAGGGTGGTTTTGCCATTGGCCCTGGTGGCGGCATGGGTGGAGGTGGAGACTGACTCAAGTTCTGAGGCACCTTAGGTGATACAGTTTTCGGTGCTGCCACAGTGTGCTTAGAGAGCCTTTGTTCTTGATAACCATGTGATCCCTGTGGCCTGCCTCCAGACTCACCATGAGAAAACATAGCCCCAGGAGGGGGAGGGAGGTCAGTGCGATATTCCCAGGGATCTATCGGTGCTGAAGTGGGGGATATCGCTCTGTGATGTGATGGGGGAGACATGACCCTGTGAGAGGGAGGGGGAGGAGACTTGAACCTCTCATGTGGGGGAGGAGACATACACCTCTCTTGAGAGGGATCAGAATATACCCTTGGAAGCTGAGGAGACATGGGCATTTTATGCATTGACATTTGGCCTGCTATTTGTTGGGGTGGGTGGTAGGGGTAGGTGCTAGTGGGCACAAAATTCTCATTCCTCTGCCACACTTCATCATCCTCTTGTATACTTTGGTAATTCAGTGGACATTTCAGGGGAGGGGGTGAGGGCGGGGCTCGATGTGACAAAGTATGCTGAGGTGACACATTCTTCAGAGTGCGATATTCTCTCTCTATACTTCCATCAGAACTCTTCCTTTCGTGTCTATGACTAGAAGCTCTAGACTTCTCCTTCTCACTATGTTTTGCTAGAGACGGCTTCCTCTCATGACCACCAGCTCGAGTATCTGACTCACATGATGAAATTGAACTTCCTTCGTAAGCAACTTGCACCATTTCAGAAATTTGACGTGTGGTACCTGTGGTTACAGGAATTTTTGCCCGAAATTTCCCACGAGAAGCAGATGAATTAGCACTGTGTCTGCTCTCGCCACTGGAAGTCGAGTCCTCACTGGAATCTGTGGATGCACTCGTAATGGAATCTCGATGTCTGACCCTCATCTCGGTGTCTGAGTCTGCGTTAATCACACTAGGAGTATTACTGAATGACACACGTTTGGTATGAGTTTTCTGAAGTCCACCGCTCGGTGGCAGTTCTAGGGAACTCTGACTGCTGAGTGTCGTTTTTTGTGATTCTGGCCCGATGAGATCCTCTGAATGTTCTAACACATTACCATGGGTTGTAAAACTAGAGTTTTGTACGTACACTATAGAGTTCCTGGATTTTGGCTCTGGCATAGACAGTCGACTGTCTTTCACATCCGGATTTAACTCAAGAGCTTCACTTGAGACTTCAGACACGCTACTGCGCATCTCCCGGTAATCCCACATCTGTATTTCATGTCGAAGTTTTTCATAATTGTCCAATAGTTGATGGCCATACTGAAATTAAAGTAAAAGACAATCAATAGATTTTCTTTATCTGATCTCTGATTAAGAGGAAGTTCATTTTACCAAACAGATTATTTACCAAGTTCACACATCAACATTATCAAATCAAACTTGCTGAAAAATTCTTTTATATATATAGCAATAAAATTTCAAATGATGTGATAGGCACAAGAAAAGGGAAAATTTTCACCTGAAGTGGAAATGAACAATAGTGATTGGGTCTAGAAATCCAAGCTCCATTAAATACATGTATAAAATTCTATAAATAAATTCATCCGGTCAGAGTACTGACTTCAGCACGTCTTAATACCGAGTCTGAATTAAATAAACACTTGATTCTCAAAACATCATCATAACTTTCAACATCAAATCCTTCACCACAGATTTTCATTAATTCTCGTGGCCTTCCTTGAAATTTTGCTCACAAATTTACACTCATAACATAATGGGCACACATTAATTTAAATCCTTCATCCTACTATAATGCTGATTAACAAAGTCCTATAGGGACATCACCTATCACAAAGAGATTAGTACTTAGATGAGCTACACCCACAAGCTGATTGTAGATACTCCATATATAAAAGAACTAACTTTCAAATGAAAACTGGTTCACTCTGGATAACTGAAAACATAGCTCTCATCTTCTAAAAATAAAACAACATTGTTGGCCATGGATCACAATATTTGGAAGGAAAAAAACAGAGTCAAATTTGATCTATTATGATAAGACTCTTTTGTTCAGTCAAAATTTGACAATCCTTTCAGGAAACTGTGAAATAAGACCTTAAGTGTTTATATCCAGTATAAACACACTGTATCTTCCTCAATCTGGCTCATAATGACAACAGAACTCGAGTGTACTGACAAGAGGACGTCACTATTTCTCCTGATAGATCTCATTAGATTTAGTATAATATACAAACCTTTGATCTATATTCAGCAAATCTTCCCTAAAAATATTCTCTAATGAAATCTCCTAATAGTATATATCCTCTCATTCACTTCCCCTTATATGACTTACACTGCAGGATAAAATCTGAGAGTATGTTATAACACGGCCAACACAAGGCAAGAATCAAATTATGACAACAGAAAAGTGTCACAGAGGGTTTATATATACGTGATATTGTTTTTTTCCACAGGAAATTTCTCTTCATTAACTCGGAAGTTCTGAAGTGTCCTGAATGCAGTGGTGAAGAAGTTAACCCATTCGTCACAAGACAATATATTTTAACAATAATTTGTTTGCAGCCCAACAAAACTGACAATTAAGATTTAGTGACCAAATGACAAAACCAACAAAAGGAAATATTTATCTTACATATATCTCCAAATATCACTCATTCTCAAAAATTTCCTTATACTTCAAACAACATAACAGTTTATGATATATATATATACATGTACTTTATCATGTTTATAGCTATTAATAGGAAGTTTGTCTGTTACCTTGGCGATCCTGATACCCATAATCCACTGATCGAGAGCATTCTTGTTTTCAGTACAGAAGTACCTAATATATTTAGATGTCTTCTTTTGTATCTGCGGATGCTAAATAAGGTCAAATAAAGGTCAATTAGATAATAAGGCATAATTATTAATCAATACAGCAATACTCATACACATATACCTGGATTTTATACTGAAATGCTAAAATATGCAAAACTGCATCTTAATTGACAAAGTTCATATTTTCCCCCCACGTCATCTATGACAACAAATGTTATGTATTCAATCCATCTAACCTTGAGAGCAAAACAGTGATCTGTGGGAGCATGATATTTCTTCTTCCACCCAAGTCCTCGGTAAACGTCCACAAAATCAAAGTTCACCATGCTAACTAAATCTTTGGATGCCTGCAAAATATCAGACTCCATTACACCTTTGTCACAGTTGAGCATAAATACCTCAGGTATGATATGGGACACGTAAAAAATAAAAACTTAAAGATAATCAAGTGTTTAAGATATTGAGGTAGAAACTTTGAAGTGATTATGAGGTTTGGTACCATTAACTTACTTTGATATATCCTAATATTTAAAATTTTGATGTTCAAAACACTGAATTTCAAAGGTATTCATTTATTATTGCCTTATAACCTTAACAATATTTCATACAGATATTCTGATTACAAGTTCAAAAGACTAAAACAAAAAATTAATCCTCGAAATGTTGATAAATTTCAGTCAGACTTCATTACAAGTAACATTCAAAGCTATCCAAAGTTTTGACATTTACAAAACACTGGAATTTTTTTCCAAAGACAAACCATTTACAATAGCAAGACTTATGATAATTGATGAAATGTAACACTACAAAATGCATTTTTTAGTAATATTAGGTCCATTTGAACTATTGAAATACTAGGGGTGCAACGATACACTAACCTCACGATACGATACGTATCACGGTATTCAGTTCACGATACGATACATATCACGATACATAACAAGGTTAAAAAGTCTTTCAAGTTTGTCATCATATTTTTAAAACTTGAGAGGGTTATATAAAATGTTCATATTTTTTAATAATAATTAAAATAAAATTTTGTTAACTTGAATTGGATTGTTGGGTAGATCTTGAGTTTTGACAATATTCTAAACCATTGATGAACATTTACAGGGAACTACGGGGGCCTTCCCTAATAATCTTCCTTTTAAATTGGAATGAAAAAGGAAGACATTCATCCTTTTATTCCTTTTATTTACGTAGAAAACCGGTTGTCATATTTCTCGTGTTAACACGTTTTAGTCAACAAGACAGTGAATTTTCATCGAAATACACACGTGAAGAAATATCGTGTATTACCAAAGAATACGTTTAGATCTAAAGGGTTTATCATTTGTCTTAACATCTCTAACTTATAATGACATTAAGTCCTTCTCCGTGTGAAATCTGAGGTCTGTAAGATGCTGGAGATGAGTTTAACTTCCGTTAATGCGTTATCGGCGACCTCACGTTTTGTGCGGAAACCATTTTGAAATTGTAAAAAAGGAAACAAAACAGACGATTCGGATAATTCTGGACCAATTGAACCAAACCGCGATATCAGTTTAGCGTATTGTGAATTGAACCTTGGAAAAATATACCGCGATATACCGTCAGACGGTTTATCGTTTCACCCTTATGAAATACAAGCCTACCTTGCTAATTTTGCCCTTTGGATTGTAGTACAGACCCGAGGCCCTCAGAACAAAGAAGTATTTCTTCCAGGCTTTTTTACCCTCTGACTTAAGGTACATCACCCCCTCAACTTCAGGAACTTGTCTTCCTCCCCCACCAAAGAATTCCTGTAATGGAAACATGAATGTTTTATGAAAATACTTTTTTGTGGGGGAGGGGGTAAAAAAATATCTTTAGTCTCAATATCAGAAAGAAATAGAGTGTTCATTTGCATATCTTATTTTTTAATCTAACAAAATAATGCATCAACTTCATTTGCAATAAAAAAAATATTAGCACATGTTCCATACATTTAAAGAATACTGTAGATTCCTAATTATATGCAAGGAATTTATTACCATGTAATTTCGCAAGAGGCACCACACACAAAATTCCCCACTTTTATTTTTTTATTGCTGAAAAGCATGTAAAACCTCTTAAAAAAAACAGTCCTCTCTTGAATTTATGTCCTCGCAATTTGATGTTTACGAGTTATTTCGCATTATTAAGTACTCGAGTAAAATAAGGAAACTACAGTATATCAAATTATGAAAAGTCAGAGGTATAGAGTTACCATAATCAGTTTATGTCTCCTTCCAGGATCAAGAGAAGCACCTTTCTCAGAAGAGGAACTCATCAGCAAATATTTCTGTCGCAAATCAAATAATGATTATAATAAATACAGGGAAATATATCTTCTATATAAGATGCTTGAAATGAAAAATTATAATTATGAATTTTTTTGTAAAATGTGTTATAAATAAAATTATATCATTGGTATAACAACTTAAAAAGTATCAATCACCAAAGAAGAAAAAAACGCCAAAATATTATAATATCCAAACTATTACAATAACAGGTTTATTACAATAAGTGGTATCTTCAATACCTCTGGATGCCTAAATAAATCATTCTTCTCCTCCCTCTCCTCAAACAGTATTCGGTTATTTGTGTCCCTCGTCCACATGACCATGTTTTCCACTAGTGTATCATGGTCCTCCAATATACGTTCTGAAGCAAACAATGTAACTTAATAATTAATCTTTACAAACTGGTTTCTACATTAATGGTTTGTGCACTTTTCAATTTTAGTACATAACCATTCCATTTCTTTAATTATTTGCAATTGTCTCCATATTTATGAGCTTCAGTTCTACATAAAGTAGAAAATTCTTGCAAAGCATAGGTACAACGTAGACATTTCCAGAATTAACACTAAATTTACGGCGAACTCAAGAAGTATTACTAAGTTGCCTGACTATGGGCCAACTGAACTATGATAGAACTGCATTGTACACTGCTTATAACTGTCGCTATCTTTTTTTCAACTTGTTGCACTTTTTTTCTTTAAACACACAGAATTATTTAACACCAAAGAAAGCACTGCCGACCCCTTTCTCTATAACAGATCAATAGGTCCTTTTGATGTAAAAATTCTTAACTGAGAATCAATCAATATTTCCTAGAATTAAGTCAATCAGATAACACGAAACTGAGACCATAATCAGGTAATCGTAAAACGAAAAGAATTTTATAGTGCAAATTACTAAATCAATATTTTTTAAAATCACTGCCATGGGCACATTTTACTGGAAACTTCTTACAGAGAAAATGATAATTGAAACTTATTCGTAAAGTTTCTTCTTCTTCTAATTTCTGAGACTTGCAATTAATTTAAAACAAGAAGTCTGTGAGCCAATGCTCACTAGTAATACCTCCGCTTTGATGTGAATGTACACAAGTTCAGTTATGGACAGACACAAGGATGAACAAGAATGTGACATCAGATTCGTACAAAAATGAATCCCACCATATGGCATGCCTCAGCAAAGTGTGTGCTAAAATTTCAAGCACCTGCGATGAGTAGTTGCTGAGAAAACTGTGACGAAAATTTTGTTACGGACAGACAGACAGACAGATACACAATGGTAAAACAGTATACCCCCCTCTCCTTTGGAGCAGGGGTATAAAAAGAACATGTAAGGACCAGATATCCATGTTGGAGAATAAGTCCATATTAATCTTATTTAAAATTTTGTAGCTATACATTGTATTTACCCATGAGTAATTCTGGCATGTGCTCAACGACTGCGAGTTTGGAGTTGAGTCGCATGTGATTTTTGTCCGCGAGTGTGCTGCAAACATCTGAGATGGACATCTTCTCGTCCACGAGTATACTTTTACTGCTGCCATCTTTACCGAAAGCTCGCACAAACAGCTATATAAAAAAAAAATCATTGTCAGTTATTTTACCTTCATATGGATGTAAAAAAATGTCACTAAATTTAGAAAAAGAACCAAAAAATGTCACCCTCCTATTCTTATCTATAATTAAATTCAGTGTATATGCCTCATCCTAGAATTTTCTACAGAAGTACTAATAAATTGGATAATTATTTTAAAAACATTCAATAAATATTCAGAGTAAACTATATATGGCATGCACTGAACAACATAAGCTTTAGTTTAATCTCGAGTGCCATCACATCTGTAAAATAATAGGAATATTAGCAATCATGTTACATTGTATATTATTCTTTTTTCCCTAAACTATCAGGAGCACCAATCTAATTCTTTCATGTGATGTGATTTTTATCAGAATGACATCTGTTCTTACTTTACGAATCTTTGCTTCTTTTATTTTCTCCAACGCAATCCGAATTTTCTCCGCTTGCAACTTGGCTTTTTGTTCTTCCTGTAAATTAAAAGACGATTTACATATTTTAGAAAAAAGATAGACCTATTTATAGCCATGAAAACTAAAATCGTGTCTTTTTAAAAAAAATATTAGAGTCATACAAAAATGCCAATCTTTTAAATATAGTGAGGGTGTTACTGTGAGATGACAATGAGGTAAAATACATGTAATTAAAATTTTGCATGGAGATAATTTTTTCAGCAAAATTAAAATGTGCAATCAGATATAAAATATTTCCTTCCAAAACCTATACATGTAATTTTTTCTTTAATATTTTAGGCCTGAATGACAATTTGTTTCAGCTAAGTCAGCAATACTTGGTGATGTGTGAACTTTATAGGAACTTTGCCTATATGATTAACGAGCAACGATCATGTAACATCCTTGAACCTTATTAAGCTGTAAATATTTAAATCATCTTTCAAACAACACATCATTCTGTGTATTTTTTCATCTTGGATTCTCTCTTGGTTGTAATATGTTTTTGATAGAAGAATCCATATACTAATTTAAAACTGATGAACACCTACCCACAGAAAATTTATGTTCTAGAACTACTAAGTAAAGTAAAACAATCTATGGTAACTATGTTAAGAAAAACAATACTGGGTCACTGCAAATGTGCACCTTAAACAATTTACACATTTCATACTTTTTTGCATAGAACAAAAAAATATTTCTTACTAATAATCATTCAACTTGACAAAATGTTTCCACTTCACATGCTTAATATAATTGATATTTAATTAAAATGACAACTGTGAATTAAGGTAAGGTGGTACCATCTTTTAAATTGTATCTCATTATAATAATAACATTAATCTTAGCATGGTGAATTTATGTGCACAGATCAGTGAAATTAGTTGCATGAAAAAAGAACACATTATTTTTATTTCCTTAGGTCCAAAATTTTGTGTTTCTTATTTTTCATTTTTTTTTTGAGGGGGGGGGGGGGGGGGGTTCATGTCAAATTACGTGTTTTCAATGATGCAGATGCCAGCTAGTTTATGATTTAAAAATTATATTACATGGACAAGGTCTACTAAGTCCACCTGTGCTATGTGAAGATACACCAATCTCCACATTTGTACAGATAATCAAGGACCCTTTTTGATAAATAAGTAATCGAAAATATGCTAAATGTATATGATAATTTAGTGTGTAAATAAAGTGAATAACTTTTGCTTACACTCTTTAGGGGGTAGAAAGTGGAAATGACTCCAAAAGCAGTATATGTGTGCTAAACTGAAAATTTGTATGAAGTGCTTTCAGTTTTGTGTGAAGTGCACATAAAATTTCACTCAAAATGCATTCATATATGTAAAATGTAAAATGCTCAGATTTTGTTTCACAGATTAACTTTGTGAGAAAATAGGTTCCAGTCTATCCACCATTACATACTGTAAATCACTTTTTATTCACGAGAATTTTATATTCGTGTAATTATGCAAGACGGTCTGCTCGCGAAAATTTCATTCTCGCGTATGTTTTCATAAGTATAGAGTATATACAGCAAAACCCAGAATTCATGAAAATTTTGTCTCGCTTATAAATACCAAATACAGTTAAAATTCGGTATCTTGAACACGGATATCTTGAATACCATGGATATGTCGAAGTGATTGGGAAGTCCTTACCACGTATTTTCATAAGTATTTTACCATCGATATCTCGAACCCTAGGATATCTCGAAGTTTTTTCTCAGTCCCATTGAGTTCGAGATAACGAGGTTTGACTGTACCTATCTCGCAAAAATAAGGTGTTGCAAAAATTTGTTGATTTACAGTACACACAGCTTTCACAATGTACGATGTGTGGTGTGTAAGGTCACTAATGCTTCGACTCTAGAGTAAGCAGACTTACTATGGAGTAATTCTCTTTGGTAAGTTCTTCTTCATAGAGACTTAGATGTGATGTAAGAAGAGCATGCATCTAGAATAAAAAAGAAAGGGGAATTCTTCAATATTAGACATGCCAATACAACATCCTAACAGTCTACAGTCTAACATGATTACATTAAACATGGTTATAATGAAAACCTCTGATATCGAAGTTTACGTCAAATCTCCTATGGCCAAAACTGTTAACCACTATAACATAACCCCTGCAGTATTCAACATAGAGAGACTGAAAGTACAAAACAGTAAAACATGCAAAGTGCGCCAAGATATACTATGAGGACAAAGACTAGTGAATTCCACAATGCAGCAGATTTATTGAAATCTATAAAATACTCTGCAGGAGATATTATGTTGCCAGTATGAAACAATCAAATATCAATTTTTCAGGAAATATTCAGCAGATTACATAATCTTGCTGATGAGATGTTCTAATTAAGGTGCTGGGCCCTCAATTTACCGACACTCAATACTGAGTCACCCAGCGCCAACAGCCAATTCAAATGGATGTCTTTAAAAGCAGGCATTGAATATCTGTCATAAAACGATACTCAATAGCAGTATTAATTCAACTAATACACACACACAAAAAATCATTATGAGCAAACTGATCTCACATTTAACTTTAGGCTTTGGGGTGGCCATCTGACCTAGTTTTACTGACCTTTAACCTTGTGTTGCTGAGGCCACAAAAAATGCTTTGCCATATATTGTCAATCTGTGGGATCAAGATGACTTTGTAAAAATGAATTTGTGAAAGTGTCAAGTTTTTATCTTTTAATTGATCTAATTCAATATAACATAAAACGAATATTATCATGTTGACTTCATTTTTTTCTCCTTGGAACTGAAAGCGGGAAAAAGAATTCAATAATGTTGATAAAGGTCTTGCTATGGCTTTTAACATATCTAAAGGAACAATTGATGGGCAGTGAAAAAAAAACTCTAAATTGCATCAATTAACCAATATAGTCATCCAGCCTCAGCAACAGATGAAAAGAAAACAATGCTTGTATAAAAATCATCCCCCAATCAGAAATTACATCACAGAGAAGTTAATGGCATCCCACTGGGGTAACAAAAAATCGGCATGGCAGTTAATCTCAACAATCTGAATCGCTTTCATCTCTTGTTTACAATTAAAACTAGGGAAAATAAAGTTCCGGCAATGGCAGATATTGTATAGCCATGTCTAGTATGTTTCAAAATTAGAAGCACATGCTAAATATCCTTGGGAAACCCTTACCAGTTTCTACATGACATTGATTTTTTGGAGGGGTGTTGTAACCATTTGAGTCTTCTTAATTAACTTCAACTGATTAAAAGTGCCAGCCAGAGGAAGAATGAAGCATGAGGGAGAGTTTAGCAGTATCCATGACAACCATCAGTCACTATGGATATTGATATTAACATATGCCCTCAGAGACTCTGTGTAATTTTTGGGCTTCCTTCACCAGCAAATATATACGCTAACATGAATAATCCATTTGAAAATTCATAATTGTCATTTGCAGATTTTTAACTGTTTCAATATGTTCAGTAACTGTAGCTTATTTGCTGGTAATATTCAGGTTAAATAGAAAATCATTTTATAAACAAACCTTAGCTGTTACTAAGATGCCTAACCAGAGAATCTTATGACAACTTGTTCTATTGTTTTATACCAGGTTGAATTCAATAATAACAGCTCTATATATGAAAAGTTAATATATATCATTAAGGTCAACAACACGTTTCTCAAAAATATATTACTTTGCCCAAGAATTTGTTACTGAAATAATGCTACTTTAGGAAGTTTCCTCACAAAAAATTGGGGTACATTACCAGGCATTTGTGCGAGATTCCGGAGGATGGCATTTCCTACATATTCCTATACTGGAAATCACTTGAACTGCTGATATATCGCAATTTTTGGTTTATATATATTTCAAACATTTTGAAAATGGTTCAGAAATCAGAAGATAATAATTATTATCAAGATTGTTGGTATATATTACAAAGGTATGCAAAAACAGAATTTCCAGGAACGTGTCGTCACCGGTATATGGTGACATCTCCATATGAGTGAAAAATTCTCTAATGGGACGTAAAACAACAAACAAACAATCAATCAATCAATCAGACCTTAATCTCCTAGTCTGTGCAGAATTATGATGTTACATAATATAATGTTTATAGATACATATTGTGATCAAAATTTCTGCTGCCCATTGCTTGCTTTACTTAACTAAGACAGCTGAACTTCTGTATCTTGAATTTTTACATCACAAATACTATGGATATGTTAAAGTGATTTGGAAGTTCTAACCACCGTTTCTGATTTATTTTAATCTCAATATCTTGAACAAACTTTTTTTCTTGGTCCCATTAAGTAGAGATAACGAGGTTTGACTGAACATGCAAAAAGAGCAAAGGTCCTTTAGATAGCTCTCAAACTATGAAAATCACAACTTTAATACACAATTTTTTAACTTCTGAATTATGGCTTTACCTCACATGCCTGTACAGAGAGAGGGGTGATGGTGCTTGCATTGCTGACCATACTACATGTGTCGGGGTGAGTGTATGTCTCCGCCATAGAGGACACTGTCACCATAGAAGTAAAGGACTCAGAAGAGGGGAGTGATGCATTCTCAGAGAAGGCGGAGTCAGTCTCCCCACTATCATTGGCGATATCATTACAGGAACCATGTTTGGTCAGGAACTGCCCATGCATGAAATCATGATTATGGTCGGACGGCAGACTGTGTCGGAACGCCAAACTCTGAGTGATCTCCGAGGCAAGAGCATCGAGTTCTGCCTGAGCAAGGTCATTGCCACTGTCTCGATGTTCGTCTTTGGCAAGTCCTGAGGGGTGATCTTGTGAGTGCCTGTAGAGATTGGACTGAGCACAGCTCAGTTGTGATTCCAGGGCACAGAGTTCTCCCAAAATAGCATCCAGATTTACATCTTGATTCTCTGAGGATTAAAAAAAGGAATTTATTTCATTCATAATTTGTTGTTTAATTACAGCAATTTAAACTAAAACAAAAGTTAAAGATATTAATTTGGCATTATTTTTAACTCATTTACACTAAGTAAGGCCATCTTCAAAAGAATGTTTGTTTGCTCTCTCCCGACTCAGGGTAAAAAAAAATGGGTCAGTAGGTAGGTGGGAAAATTTGTTTTAAAAAAATTTAAACATACTTGTTGACAAGATGAGAAAATTTTGGGAAAAAAAGAATTAAAAAAAATAACATTTCTTGCAAGTTAGAAAAAAGTTTTGAGCTGGGTCATTTTTAGCCAGTCAGTTAGGAAAGGGCAAACACACAATTTTTTAAAGATGGCCTAAGACAGTAAGTATTAAGAGTTATTTCCCATTTACAAATTTTTACTGTTTCCAATAAAAACATGTTAAGACATATAAAAGAACAGTCTCTTTTTCTCTTGAGTGTATTTTAAGAGCAGCAACTCTCTCATGGGTGCAGAGCTTTTAAGACCAGCATGCTAGACTCTTATGATAATCATAATACAAAGAATCCCTTGCTCCTACAATAATAGGCTTGAAGTGTATGACTGTCATCAAGCAACAGGAGCAGGATATGAAAACTCTGCCAAAAGATGTCTCCCTTTCCCTTTCCCCATTTGAGTTACTAACACATTATTCTCATTTGTTAATAATTGACAGAAGTTTGTTAATAATTCAGCTCTCTCGGTGGAGCCTAGCTCTGTGTGTATTCTACATGATAAATCAATTGATTGTAAGAACATTTCATGAATGACTCACTCTGTCAATCAGCTAAAAATAATTTACTCACAAAGGGAATGAAGGTTACTAAATATACATATCTTTACTTTGTTTTGCAAGGGAGCAAAGGCATGCACGTAACAAAGAACTGACAGATATGCATAAATATCTCTCTGCAAAAATAAAGGCAGGATATTGCTTGCTGTTTTGGGGTATATTAATGAAAATTAATTACAGATTTCATTAGATATGCCATAAAATGGTTTTATGTAATGAGATTCTGCACTACAACAGATTTTATTGTCTGTGACCTTCATCTTGGATATGACCTTGAATTATAATTGTAATAAAATAAAATTGTAAAGAATTTTCCCTTCATGTTTTCATGAATATGTAATGTAACACAGTGAACTGACTCTCTCTCTCTCTCTCTCTATCTATCTCTCCAGATTATGAGATAGAAAGCTGCGATTCTGATTTCACAATGTGCTGTACTATTTTAAATCCTGGCTCTAGCATCTTAAATGTCCAACTACATATCTTAATTAATTGTGTATTGATTTACCCATGAAAACCATTTTTATACATAACAGTTAATTAGTCATTATTGATGTTGATTTTTCTATATATATCACTGAAGATAGATGAAACAGGACCTTAGTTTAGTAGCTAAGGACACTGACCGAATCCAGACATTAGTGATTTGTCACAAGGTCAAACTCCTTATGCCAATACAGAATACAAATATCTGTTGCTTAAAATGGCTTCTTTAATTCTCTGAAATGGAATAACTCTATTACTGGTACTCTACATTGATCCAATAAAAACACTGACATATTGCCAGTCTCGGGCTCCACATTGTCTACAGACCACAAGCTGACCAGGCAAATCTAAATCACAATACATTGATTTTCTTGTAAAAAAACAAATGTTTTCCTCCTTCATTAACATTCCCTATAACCCAGAGTTTTGGATAGTGTACATGTCAGTGTTTCTAACATACGAGTATAAATAAAAGGGAATTTTACAGTGGCTAGTAAATTATATCCCTGAAATTTTAAGGATCGCTGATATAAAATCTGTATATCATCCATGTATGAAACCTTTGAGATGTGTGCATGTATGGATTTAATAGTGTACACTGTAACGGCAACATAATGGACTCCTTCAAAAGTACTAACACATGCACACCTGTCTTAAGGAATGATCCTTGTACTCTTAGGTGTGGACAACTTTCATGAATTATTTTATTTATAGCTAGATTGATACAAAGGGTCCAAAACTGTTCTTCAAAATCCTGTCCTTTAACTTTCCTCAAATTATGGAACATTAAATGTTACACCTTACAATTTAAATCTGAATAATTTAGGTCTTATAACCATATAAGCACATTTCTTTGCAAGGATTCAATTTTGGTATTATTAGCAAGAATGTTTTGATCGCTAAAATTGAACTCGCTGCCAAATTTATTCAGCATCAGAGATGAAATTTATCTTTCATGACATCACCAAATCACTAAAACTATGTACCAATTTTAAGGACCAATCAATCAATTTGCGTTTTGTTTACAAATCCATTTACAGAGTAGTTTTTATGATAATACAGTAAAGACTGTCTAATCTGACCACCTATGTAATCTGTTTCACTGTGAATTCCAACCCTTATTTTCATCCCACTTTTCTAATGTCCATGTTCTTAACACTGCGCAATCTTACACCCTGTCTATTCTGACACAAAATTTATCTCTATGTTGGACAAGACAGGTTTCACTGTATATATCCAATCACTACAAGAAATCATCTCCGAGTTCTAAAATTCCTGAATCAATCAGCAATATTCTCTGGAATGAAATTTTGGCACGTTGATTGATAACATCACAGGGAAAATTCCTAAGTAATCAGATTTAAATCATGGGCTTCCTGGTAATTTACATGTGCTAATTCTCTTATCTGAAAACACTTTATGCACCTATCAGTTCCAGAAAAATGCTACTGAACCCACCCTGGAGAAATAAAAAAATATGTAACTAATCTTAGGATAACATTCCAACCTTGACATTGGTGTCATTTAGAGATTTTTATAAGATATTAAGTCTGCATGTATCAAATAACTAAATCATTTGATACCACACATTTTTAACAGATTTTCAAATTTTCCTGCCATCTCCAACTTAACATCACTGGTGGACAGACTTTCTTACTTCCAATGGGCTATGACCCTAGCTGACTCTGTCCCAAACAATCAAGTTAACCTTAAGCCCCTTAAGCTTAATAATAATAATGTGCACCTTAAGCTCATAAGTAATCTTTTCTTCTCCTGTAACTGACCTTTTAACATACTGTATTGACTAATTTACACTTGCACAGATTTTTATATAACACAAAGGGAGAGAATGCCATGGATCAGACATGGATTTAAATTCCCCTCAATTATAGATGGGTGCTCTACAACTGAGCTATCCGACCACTGCTGAATTTTAATCATATCCGACAGTTTCTTTTGCCATACCCCCCCCCCCCCATCCAGAGACATATACAACCCTAACTCATCCTCAACAGATTCGACATTGGTCACAGTATAAAATGTATTGGGGGGGGGGGGGGGGGGGGCTGTGATGGACCAGACTAGGATTAAAACCCTGGCCACCTGGACCCTAGACCACCACCTCCTATCCTTCCTTATGTAAGAGGCAGGAATGAGGATCAGTGATTAGATACATGTAACTTGTTTCACAAGCATGACTATTTCATCCAAGAGTATATGTACTTAGAATTACTTGTTAATACTTTACATAATGACAAAAGACTTTTACCATCAGTGTTGAGAAATGAGGAACGGAAACTTTCCATCGCCATTTTGGGAGTCACGACGGTTTTCTTTTTTCTGCGAACTGTTCCTGTATCATCAGAATCCAGACTCTGTAGTAAAGAGAATAAAATCTAATAAGTATATGTACATAAAGTTGTCAATGTATCTTATTCATATTACCCATAAGATATTAATTTTTCTTCATTGTCTAAAATTAAGTTACCAAAAATGCCTTCATTTCTTCATTTTGTTTAAGAGCATCATAGACTCTTGTTTCACACTTTTCTCTTAATAAAGCCTGTTTTCCCATCAAGTACCATACACAATTTGTCATTCTTATATATTCTTCAAACTTCCATAGTACAGATCTATACAACTTAGCATAAAAAACATGACTATTGAAAATGCTACATACACAGTACATGTACAAACATGGTGGATTTGAGGAATGGAAAAAAACTTGAATCAAACATTCAAAATACAGAACAATACTCACAGTTTCAAGATTAAATGACCTTCAATCACATTTTATTGGTAAATTAAAATTCCAGTCAAGAAAGCTATGAAAGTTTCTCTCCAATTATTAATTTTGTGAATTTGATGAAACCAGATATCAATCAAACATGAGAGAAAAATCACATTAAGAAGATAGTCCAGGAAAAACATGTAACTGAATATTATGATAATAAGTATTAGAGGTCACCCTAAAAAAACCACAAACAATTCCGATATACAAGTATGTGTCTAAAGTCACACAGAGAAGTCAAATGATTGGACGTAAACAACTGTCATAAACAAATCTAGGTTTGGGGTCTGACCACTCAGAAATACCAGCGTCAGACGTGATGGATCAACCGACGACCAGGCCCTGGACAGGGGACGGTTAGTGGTCAGCTAAGAAAGTTGACCTCCTGATTACCACACTCTGGACGGGACTGCTGTATATATATATATAAAACATTAACTGTCACTGGGTCAATTTCCTCACCGAGACATAAAAATGATGAGTAATTATTTCAGGTGTCATATACGGTGGTTATACCAGAGAAAAATGGGGACTTTTTAATAATTTCTACATGACCACAGGGATTTTGTTGCTTCTGATTCCAGAAACAGAACCATGTTAATTCTGTGCTTTTTTTTTCAAGTTTAAAATATGAAATGAATTTTATTAGTACTTACACTTCACCATCTTAAAATTGTACTTCAGATGAAAATATTTATATATTATTAAGTGTGAACCTGTATGTGCAAATATTGCATGATTTACCTTTTCAATAAATGAATGAATGTTCTCAGACTCTGATAAAATTAAAGAATCATTATTTTTATCCACCCACCCTATCCCAATCACTCAATTTTTAACAAATCATCACAATTATTTTGTCAAAAATTGTATGAAAAAAAATGTGTCAGACATACAATATAAAGACTAGAACTGTCCTAATAGGACAAAATTCCTTTGTGTGTGTGTGTGTGTGTGGGGGGGGGGGGGGGGGGGGGGGGGTGAAGGTACAACAACAAGAAAGGAATACTTCAAAATAGCTTAAAACAAAACTCTGCCATCTTGCTAAAAAAATTGTACTGCAAATATCTTTGGCCTGAATTTGTTAGGATGTTAAATTGGTTGACAGAGATATCAGCTCTGGTTGTGAGCAACCATCGTTTTAAGTACAAAAAAAATTACTAACCACAGCGCAAGCATTAAAATGTCATGATCAAAATAATACTGAACTTGTGAGTCATGTGACCTTGACCTTATCCAAACAATCACAGCATGACAGACCTATTGATCATAAGAAATCTTCATCCAAGTATAAGCTCTAAATCCTCCTCCAATATAAAGTTTTTGGTTTTTTCTGAATCCCTCAGAATTTTACTCTTTTGAACTTTGTGACCTTGACCTTGCCTGAAAAACCTTTATTAAGGGTCATAATACATTCTATGACCATAATCAACTGAAGACAAGTTTAATCTCCTTGAGTTATTTCATTACAAAATCATGGACACTTCACCTTAAGCTTTTCCAGATAAACAATTTGCCATGATTCAGAGTTACTACACTCACTCTCTTTGTGCCTAGTATAATCTAGTGTATTTTTTCTGTTGTTATAGCCAAAACAAGGATTTTATATTTCTAAAAACAGTGACCATAACCTTTTATTCTGGGTTAAGGTCAGGACATACCTTTAAGTCACAGACAATTAATCTTTGCTTCTAATTTTTTTTTCCATTTCAAAGTTGTGGTTAAGAACTTCTGAGCCTGTGGCCTTGACCTTGATCGTAATTTAGATACATTTATTTAACACTCCAGAATGAACACTTTAGAAAAATCCTTTTTTTTAAATTGTGACAAATCAGTTTGAAAATTTCAGGAACACAACTTCAAATGGTACAAATTAATTCTTCAAAGCTTAAAAAAAATATTTAAATACATTGAACAAATTTGTTTCAGCACAAGACTTATAACCTTTGGAAACAGCATAATTCAAATTTAACATATCACTATAAAAGATTTAAACTTAAGGACATACGCAATGTACCTTACCTACTGATAATTTTTCAAGATATTCTTAATTTAAGATTATAGTGCCATCAGATGTTCGTAGACAAAAAATCAGCATGCATTACCAGGGGTTTTGAAAAGATATTAATTGATGAAAATTCTTGTGTAATTCAAAGAAAAATATACAAAAATTATTAAACATATATTCTAGATGTTTTGTTTATCCAAAATTGTTTTAGAAGAAGTGAACAACAGCATATATAGACATTAAAATGTAGCACACAGTTCCTTCAAGTTTTGGAACTCTTCAACTCCAGGGAAAAAGACAATAAAGTTCAAACTACGTTGCATATGTCCTTAAAAGTCACATTACATTGTCAATAGCACTTCAATAATTGTTGATATAGCTCTTCATTAAATCTGTCATCTTAAGTCAACAAAAACATTTATCAATTTTCTGATTTCTTACCATTACTATAGGTAGTAACCATATGCTATGGTCAATAAAAAGGAAATATTCTGTTACTAGGAAACATAATATTACCTTAAAATGCTATACATTATGATGCACAAATCAAATGGTAACTCAGATTAAATAGTTACACAGATTGGATTACATTGTAAATGTTGCCATAACACCTTTTACAATTTGCGTCAGCAAGTAGAATATGACCACTTTTTGTTAGTCGCTTTATCATGTTTATTGGTTTAATAACTTTTTTCCTGCTAAATTGAGACCAATTGAATGACATTATTGAAGATTTTGAAAACTACCTTTATCATGACCAAACAAGACACCAGCTAATTTCATATTTTTAATTGATTACATTTTTTCTTTGTGTGTCCGACATATCAATATGGATCAGAAAATATCTTAAATCCAGTTTTCCCAAAAGGATCTAATTTTAAGCATGAGAAAATAAGAGATCATTTACTGAATCCATACATCTTAATTAATTGTCTCACAAAAGCCAACATTGTTTGCATGTACATAGATTTCAGTTGTCAATTATTAATTATATAAAATGACAACTTGTTAGCATCATTGCACTTCAACTTAGCAAGACTAAGAACCAAAAGAGACCCTCAACAACAGATTGATCTTTGTACTACCAGTGTGTCGCCATCAATACTGTTCAATAAAGATCAGCGGTTCTGATAGGCCAGACTGACCGCCAGACGATGGACCAGTGAGTCCATCAATGACCTGACCCTCAGGATCGATTATGTGATTTTAATTGATGACACATGCTGACTCACACAGTGTCCCCAGAATCACAGTCCTCATAAAAAAATGAGCCACTTCAGAATCCACTCATTTCATCAGAACAATCAACAGTTTTTATGATCAGAGACAAGTGCAGGTCACAATTAAGGGCACAGATTGCAGAGAATTCATTTTACTCCTGCAATTGGATTTCAAAAGAGCTAGCAGGTGCCCTTTCATAAAAAGATATTGTCAATTTAGGGTGACCTTAACTGCAACATTATTTATCAGGTGCTGCTTCATTTTTACAGGGAAAGAAGTGAATCATCAAAATGCAGCATCCAAAATATCGATAACTAAAGCTCATTAAATAGTATCTATAAAATACCACAAACAAAAATAGCCATTAATCCTACAGAAAACCACGCTGTGACACAGCTAACAAACCATCATGAAACACCTAATTAGAGTAATTCCTTTTCATTCTGCATAATTCTTATTTGGTGCATGATATGACAATATGAAGTCATTTATAATGCTAATAAGGTTTGGTCATTGTAATAAGTGTAATGGTAGATATATCAGAGAGAAATGCACTGTAATGTTTTGTCGACCTTGTTGATGATATATATGACTCACTCTTCTCCTGACTTAACATTGAAGGAACATCTTTACTCGGTGGCTTTCTAACAAGATTTTTCTTTTTTTTCAAGAAGACACCTGCATGCACTTTTTAGCTTGGATCATAAAATAAATCATTATTGCATAATAATACCTGGATTTTCTGATGAAAATTGGAAGTGCTAGACAAAAAATATTAGAGGAATAAGAAATAACGAAATTGAAACCCTACAATATCGACATTTTAGTATTTAGTAAAGACATTTTTTTAATGCTGTTCTTTTATACTGACATACTTGAAGGTGACTTAATGTAGATATACTTAAGATATTTTCTCCCCCTCAAAAATCTTGTAAAATCTAGTTTCTGTAAAATCTAGTCGTCTTATTCAATGAGGAGGATGTTTATTGTATACAGAACTCTGAGACCCCTGATGGCAACTGAACCTATTTCCCCCCATCATCCTGACAAGCCTACACTGGGTAACTCCACATTCAATGCCAGCTATTGAGTTCATCCACTTTTGTCTTCAAGTAAACTTTCTCTGTGCATTCAAAAAATTGGAAAGTGCCTGTTTAATTACCGATGCATTACATAATGCCAGAATTGAGCAGACTCTTTGTCGAAATCTGTACTGTTCAGCTGCTGTTGTTTACACCCAGACTCTATATATAGATTTTTTTAAGTTCAATTCATTAACTTAATTTGCCATTAACAACTTCATTTGCATTGAAACTTAATTTTCCTTGATAAAGCTACCAATCCATGAATGCAAG